CATTTATGTTAGAGTTCAGTTCTTAAAAATTGAAGATATAATGTCTTGCGATATGAATCTATTATACTGTAGAGTGCATCCATCAGATATCAATTGAGATACAATCCTTGCTATGTTTTTAGAATCGTCCAACCCGGAGTGTTCACGGCCTTCAAAACTCATTCCCAGTTGAGTCAACATGTTAGCAAGATTACCGGAACTGATCTGATAGAAGCTGCTAAATAATTTCCTGGCATCGATCCACTTTGAAGCATAATGAGGGAAAGATACCTTAGATAAAGCACACTGAGGGAACAGACATTCTCTTATGTCCCAGGGACTATAATAGTAAAGTGAAATAGCAGCAGCAGAGTAGAGAACTGAAACTTACCAGTCTGTAACTAAAGAGAAGTTATGTTTTGTACCTAACTCTCTTTCTTCCATCCATTCCGTAAAATCATCAAAAACCTCAGCAAAAGTAGGGGCTTTGTCAACAATAGACTACATAAAAAGAAAGAGTACACGACTGACGATTCATCATGGTTGATAAATACTTGCTCTATTCCGGTCAGTTTTGTACAGAAGCTGGAGAGTTTCTCGTTAAGACAAGGACGGCAATAAGAGTGAAATGTATCGACCTATTGTACAAAGATACCAACTCCATGTGATGACATAATAAGAGAGAATAAAAAATGAAGTGCTTTTGTCATTTGGTTTTGATTCAAAGGCAATAGAATAAAAATAGAATTGATGCTATTTTTAGAAACAGCTTTTTTGAGTAAATCTAACAGAAACTTACAATTTTAAGAGTTGATATATCTAAGAGTTGTACCGGGAACTCAATGATTTCATGAATATAATCAGACGAGTTGACACTCTCACACGTGGCCTCAAAATCAAGGACAAGCAGAAACTTAAGTCCAAGGGGATTGGTACTGAGTACCTGCCAGAGCTCATAAGGAGGAGATGGATCCAACGATACCAAGTTTTTCTTCTGGTACTGCTTGTATCTCTTATAAATGATAGGGTCAGTCCCCCTAGTAAAGCATACAGCTGCTAGTAAGTGAATACTGTGTGGTGGTACCTACTGGTCAGAGAGGTTCTCCCGCCTCAGTCTATCTCTTATTTCCTCAGGTTTGAGTTTGTTCAGCTCCCTATTGAAGCGGGAGAGGGTCTTGTACAATGGATGCTTCCTACTATTATCAGCTGCAGAGTTAGCATCGGTTTTTTCAGCAGTACCTCCACTTGATTCAGCCATTTTACTATTAATAACTAGACTAAACTAATAATAACATGATTTTATATTTTAAAATAATCATTAAAAAAATTGTCATGTTTGTAGATCAAGTTCTCTCTGGAATTGAAGCTGTAGTGAGTATTTCACTAAATTTATCAATGAGAGCAAGAAGTTCTGATCTAGCCATGTTCTCAAGCATAAGTATCTCCTCTAAGTGATGGTTGCCATGCCAGTAACAAGAAAGCCTAAAAATGACAAGACACGCAATGAACTATATATATACAACAAAAATGTAAAGTATCAAAAGCATTGAAACAATATCAAATCAAGATCAGTGTTAATCCCAAGATCAAGTTAAATCAGTACTATGAAGATAATCTTACTTAGTGAAGAGAGCAAGATCATCTTTGTCTCTAGCAGCATCAGTAGAAGAGACCCACTCTACCTCTTCTTTAGAGAGGTGCTTTAAAAGGTTAGCCATTGTTTCTGGTGAGAGATGGACTGGCTCATTTTCACCTTCTTCCTCTTCATCATCATCAAACATTCCTCTGTCTTTGGTGTCTTGTGGAGGAATCAGAAATATATAAGTATGCAACTAATAAAAGATTAAATGTAAATCTGTCTTCAATTCTTGCTCTTGCACCTGTAATATTTGCCCATGCTTCAAAAGCCACGTCACAATCGGTATCAATTTCTATATACATAAAGAAGAATGACAGCTGGTACATGTGCATAAAAATGGCGGCTCGTACTTCATCAGTGTATAATCCTCTCATTTCAGAGAGGGTGACGGGAGCAGAGAAATGGAAAAGAAATTGAGAGAGAGAGTCATCAGCTCCTTCACTCAATGATTCTGAATCATCTACAGCGACACTGCTGAACTCTTTAGCAAATAATGATGCTAACTGACTATCCCTAGAGTAGTAATATATACAATAGATATCGGCCTTGAGGCAAATAAAACATGTATCAAAATGGAGAATTCTATCCTAACAATTTTTGACGAAATATGTACTATCAAGAGTATATACACAATTTTGGAGAAACTTTAAAAATTCATAAAAAATCCAGTTTTGATCGGAATTAGCTAAAACTTAAAACACAACACAAGAACATGTGTATGCATTTTAAAAATTATAAAAATGAAGAATTCTCTCCTAGTCAATTTTGGCAAAATTTGGCCCGAGACCATGTACTATAGTACAGGGATTTTTGTCCGATTTTGGAGAAACTTTAAAAATTCATTAAAAAATCCAATTTTGATCGAAATCAGCTCAAACTTGATATGCAACATAAGAACATGTATATGCATCAGGAAATACTACAAAAATCAAGAATTCTCTCCTAGTCAATTTTGGCAAAATTTGGCCCGAGACCATGTACTATAGTACAGGGATTTTTGTCCAATTTTGGAAAAACTTTAAAAATTCATAAAAAATCTAATTTTGATCGGAATCAACTCAAACTCGAAACACAACACAAGAACATGTATACGCATCAGGAAATACTATAAAAATGGAGAAATCTCTTGTGACCATTTTTGACAAAATACCCTGCACTATAGTACACTGTCTTTGGCCAGATTTTTGAGCAACTAACTTCTTAATAAAGCATCATGCAAGAGAAAATACAATTATTTATATTTCTCACACAATACCTCTTAGTGTCAGCTTGAGGACTGTTAATGTAGACGTTAGTCTCCGATAATGGATACACTGTCATTGCTTGACCCCAGTGAACAAGATGACACGCAAACTTGACAGCTTGCTGGAGCGGTATATCAGCATCAAGTGAGACCTGTATTAAACTAAACACGTACAGTGTCGGCCATTTTATTGAAATGCAATATCCCATACTTCTTCAGTGGAGATATGGTGGTGAGGAAACGGTGAAAGGACGGATTACAAGATGGAGGCAATCTTTTAGTGAGATCCTCGAAACTGGTAAGTAGTATAACGGCAGAATATGATCTATTAATAATTATATTGCTAATAACTACAAGAGGGCCGTTGTATTTGAAATACAGTACCTAACTATGCTCTTTGGTGCTATTGTGTTGGAGGATGTTAAAGACTGCGGGACAGTAGGAGGAGCCTCACTATGTATGAGACAACTTATTTCAGACCAGTCATTCATTATGACGTGTACGTGAGGGTCGCCATTTTGTAATCTTAAGGATTAAAATTATAATTAATGATAAAAATAAATGGAGGTGTTTAACGTACCCACAGAGTGCCTCATGTAATGTCTTTGCTAAATAGCTAGACACAACTGCTTTCTCTAGAATAAAAGAGACAATACTAATCCTGATCACAATAATTCAAGCATACGACTGAGCTCATCAATGGTGTCAACTTGATCTGATATCTGCATCAACAGTGCGTATTGATTCTTAAAGAACTCAGTTCTATAAATAAAGAACATAATAATGCATCTCTCTCCAGTCCTCCATTACCTGTGTTCTTCATGAATCAGGGCAGCTCCAAGGGCACGAGAGAGAGAATTATAGCTACCAACAGCCTCAGGCGAACATGTAGACTGAGAGAGAGAAAAAGATAAAATAATGAGCATTATCTACATGTACCTGGAGTACAAATGCAATGTTAAAAGAGATGCTCCATGAAGAGGTTTGGAGTAAAAACGGATGACCTACAAACTTCCACTCGTCAACTCTTAGCTCAAACTTCCTGTCCTGCATCACAGCACAAGAAGCTAATATCTCAGCCAGCGTCCTCTGAGGCAGCTTACTGAGAAAGGATAGATTTATTTTTATATTCTTATCATGAACAAGCTCTCTTACTTTAGTAATTCTAAGTTTAAAAAAATAATAAATTCAACTTGATTTTTGTATGCAGACCAACCTGACTCTAGACTGTGTGGTTTAGCTATCCCACTGTCATAAAAGAGGAGCTTATTCCCGCGGCTACCTGAAGACACAAGAGCCACTGCCTGAGGCTTGACAGCCATTTTAATATCAAGGCACCGCACAACCCTTTTAATCACACTAATCCGGTAAAACACCGTCGATTTTAAGTATATTACAGCCACGTGCTTGCACGTGACACAGAGCAAAGTTAAAATTTAAAAAGGAAGTTTCATTGTTCCATAGATCCAGAAGTAGTTGGAGGTGAAGGGGGAGGAGATGGAGGGAGAGTGTTTTGAACAACTTCCATTCCTCCCTCCTGCTCCCCAGGAGGATCCTCTTTATCTTGCCACTCTTCTTCAGAGCTAGCTTTATCATCATCTTGTCTACCCTGAGTACTGTCCCCCTCTCCTCTTTCTTCCTCCCCTTTCTCTTCTTCTTGCTCCCCCTCCTCTTGCTGCTCTCCTTCCATGGCCTCTTCCCTCTGAGGAGGAGCAGTGGACTGAGGAGGAGGAGGAGGAACGAGGGACTGCTTTGCTTGAAGTGCGTGTACACGTGAATGATAATCTCTGTAGACACAGTTAGCAAGGAAAGACATATCCGGTACTATAACTACTGGTGATTGTGGAGGACAACTGACCTGAAAAAAAAAGAAAAAAATAAAAAAGATATAAATATATTAAAATATAAACTGACAGGTCTGTCTGTTCCATACATCTCATCAGGCACAATATGAAGGCTGCAAGGTCTCTTCATTAACTATAAAAAATAAAATAAAACTTTAAAATCCCTCTCCATCTCTCTCCTCACCAGATCAAAGGCCGGCTGCAGTTCTTTACAATACCTAAACAACGAGACCCTCCCCAGTATATAGAGACCAAGACGTGCCCTTGACATTGCGACCACCAATCGACGGACGTCACGCAAGTGTCCGATGTGACGCGAACGGACGAGAGAAATGATGATGTAATCGTTTTGCTGGCCTTGATATCGATCAACCGTTGTCACCTAAAAGCAAAAAATAAAAAAAATTAAGTACCATTATAGTACAGTACCTTTTCAGGCAGGCCAAAGACTGGATTTCGTGCGCATCTCTTTTGTAGTACGTCACGAATGAGGTGCTTCTGACCATTGTATGTGGTAAGAATAGCAATCTTATCAGGAGGGTAGCCCTGCAGTCTCATGTACATGTATAAAGCAACGGCATATTCAGCTTCACCTAGATTCTGGAGAGAAAGAATAAAGAATGCAAGAGGAAGAAATAAGAATGAAGAAATAAGAGAGAGAGAGAGAGATGCAGTTTCCATGTTGTATTTTCTTACTCACTTGATAAAAGTAGGGAGTGGGTGTTGTTTCTCCTACTCCATTAAAGTCCTCCACATTAATGAGTTGATAGTCAAACTCAAACCCTCCATTGGCCAGCATGTACTCCCTTGACTCCATCACATGCGGTAGGTTCCCTAGTGATAAGTATCTCCAGTTGTACAGCGCACATAGCGAAGGTCTGGCTCTTCCCTGAGCATCCAGTTGAGTTACCGGAACTCCTAGTCTCACAAAACGAGCAAACATTGATTGCTCCATGTTTGAAAACTTTTGGAAGGCTTGGTTCTTGATAACAGGAGGAAGCTGTGGAGAAAAAAAAAACAAAGATTAACCAATGTTCTTTCTCTCTCTCTCTCTCTCCCTCTCCATTACTTGGTGATGATCTCCAATCATTATGACTCTCTTCAATCTGTTGTGTCCATCAACTGGCGTCTATAAAAAGGATAATTAATGAGTACAAGACCCTCTCTTAATATTCATGGGTACAAGACCCCTCAGAATGCCCATACCTGTAGCATTAAAGGTATAAAAGTCTCCACCTCAAGGATCTGAGCTGCCTCTTCCATCAGAACATTATCGTACTATAGAAAAGAATTGATGCATTAAGTTTCAATATTTCCTCACTCTCTCACTTTAAAAGAGAGGTCCACAAGATCTTTTCTCTTTAGTGCTGCATGCGTACAAGTTAATGCAATGATTTTTGCTTCCTTGATCAGCAGGTAATTGATCCTGTCCCTACTGCTCCTCAGTAATTCAAATGCTCTAAATTCCTACACAGACCTCCTAATGATACACACAGCACATTAATGGGGTCTCCCTTACATCAAGCTGTTCAAATATCTTCTTTATATGCCTGTAACATCCCTACAGTATCAATATGTAACAGATATTAATATTATAGAATATATACATGTATGTAAGCAGTGTATTTGTATATGGATCATATCTATCTAATATCTACTGAACTATCAATCATAAATCCCATCACAAGCCCAGCCCATCGAGTATGAATGCACATGTACCTGTGCAATGTCCCAGTCTTCATCAAACGAGTTCCCCTTGAATAAAGGTTGAGGCGCATTTGAGAAATATTCCAAGAACGGGAAATGCTTGCTGATTGCTTCAAGGCCTTCAGGCTGAGAGAAGAGGAGGAGGATAAACAATTATAAAAAAGATATTATGTACCTTATCTGCTATACTCTTTATTTTGCTCGCATATTTCTCCCACCTACCAGACACCTAAAATTAAAAAAAATTATTAAAATAGTACATGTACATGTACATGCACATGTGGTATTACAGTACAGTATTGCTGTACTTGATATAGGAAGAAGTAGGCAGCAGTTTCACAAGTATATGACACATCTCCAGTCACGTTGAGGCTCTTCTGTAGTCTCTCGACTTCTTGAAGTAGCTCAAGTCTCAGTGCCAGAATGAAATTAACTCTACCATACCTGTGTACATGTATATTGTGTATATAAGAAGAGATGAAAAAAAGAATAATAATAAAATAGCAGAATAATAATAGAGGAATCAGACCAAACTTTCTACATGCATATGTATAACATAAGAAAATGGGGTTGAATTATTTAAGTAGTGTTGGTTATAATAATTCTTTCTTAATATGTTATTAATCTGACAGGACCTGCTGAAGTCTTTCTCAGTTTGGAGTTCCTCTTCTCCGTGTCCCAGACGAAGCAAATGTCTCTCATCAATATCTAACTCCATTATCTTCTCAAACAATTGATTAAGAGCCTGAGAGAAAAGATAATATTAAATGCAAGGTATTGTTTAACTTTTTTCTATAGGCCATCAAAAATTGATTGGGCAGTCATAAAAAATTTCAATGCCCTCCCTGACCTGATTGGAGTGAGTGACTAGTAGTGTCCTTTGCTCTGGGAAGTTGTGATAAATATTTGAAATAATTTGAACAGCAACGTCAGTTTTTCCAGTACCAGGAGGACCGACTACCAGCGAGAGGCCGGGCTGCATTCCGGCACGTATCGCTTCAACTTGAGTCGGAGTGAACAGAACCGTATTTCTAATTAAAGAGCAGATAAAAACAAATTTAAAAATTAGCCTAATTGATTGTTACTTTTTTGGTATGTTATAAGGATAAGGTCCTCTGTTCTCAATAACAAAAGGTTGTACAGTCAGTATCGGCTTAGACTCATCGTCGGATAATTTACGTTTAGCACCAACCGATATCCTCTCCTCAGGAAATGTTATCCTAATAATAATAATAACAATAATAATAATAATAATAATAATAATAATAATAATAATAATAATAATAATAATAATAATAAGTACAAATATACTCCATCTTTATTTCATTCAGCCTTTCTTCGATACTCACTTAAATGGCGGTATTTGTTCTTCAGGATTAGCAACAGTGCACTATAAGAATCATAAAATGTACATAATCATATTGCAATGCACATATGTACATGTACATGTACATATACATGTACATGTACATGTATATGTATGTGTACATGCAGTATTCCTTACCTCAACCTGATACTGAGGGAATGAGGCACTCAAGTGATCCAGTGACAGAAAAGTATCATTAAAGTTCAACGTGTTGATCTGTTTTGGGATCCTACAATACAAATAAAGAGTAAGGTACATGTATACAGTACATAATTATAATGGTGGCTGTCCGTACTTGGTATAATGGGCAGCAGAAGGGTCTCCATAGCCGAGGAATATATCGTGAATCCAGTCAGGGACGGCACACTCTGTGTTTATGAGATCCCTGATGGACTCCAGGACTGCCTGCATATAATAACAATGTGCAATGTATTAATGGTGGAATGAATAATGGGACTTCACTTTAAAATTGTTCTCTTTTGGTTTTCTTCTCACAAATATATTGAAAGTCTCGTACACGTCCTAAAGCACAGCTTGAAGTTAAAAAGACAAAGACACAGACACACACAGAACTAGACTCTTACTTCTTCTCCTCTCACAACCCTCTCCATATCCTGCTGGTATTGGTTAGTGTCCAGCCACACCCTAAAGGTACGAGTATCACCTTTAACAACTGGTTTAGGATCAGGGCCTAAAAGAGAGAGAGAGAGAGAGATAAAAAGAGAAAGGAAAGAGATTATTACAAAGATCATGATCCTTGTCTTCTAACTAACCTTCTTCGATCACTTTTCCTTCACTATCAAGCATTCCTTCAACCTCACACCCTCTTACATACTGGACACCAATCTACATGTACATGTACATATATGTAACACACACATACATGTACATATACAATTGTCACATATATATATATACAAGTATGTACATAAATGAGGTACTCCTGTTACTATATTTAACTATAAAGAAGTACATTACATTTACAAGTGCACAAAAGTAGTATAATATAAAAATCATTACTTGTGTCGCAAAGTTTTTCTCGGCACTGAAAGTGTCGTTGATTCCCATGTTAGCTCTTATACTAACCAAGAAACACACGTCATGTTTCTTTAAACCTAATGTACCCATGAGAGTATCAGACCACAACCACACCCACTCACCCTCCCATTCGGCTCCCACAGAGTCTTTACTGATGGGGAACTTAACGTCACCTTTGACCCTGGAGGGACGGTTCTCACCTACCTTGGGCTGTCCAACCTAACAAGCATTAAAAGAAAGAGAACAATTATAAACAATTTAAAAAATACAGCTGTTGCAAATTGAAGTTCCCTCCTCCCTCTCTTTTACCTCTACAATTGAAAATCTAACAATAGGTTGGCCCATCCTTGCCCAACCAGCAAAGTGAGTCTCTCCTTCAGGATTGATCCTAAGAATGAGAGGGAGAGGGGGAGAGGGGGAGAGGGGGAGAGAGAGGGGGGGGGAGAAAGAGAGATTAGAACATCATACAAGATACACACTGTCATAAGGCAAACCATGGTTTCATTCTGGAGACAACATCTTCAATGTCTTCTTTAATCTCATCTGAAAGGAAAAAGGAGTGAATAGAAAGAGAGAGAGGAAGAGAGGAATATGTGTATATCATTTAAAATATGTACAGGTTGATTCCAGACGGAAAAGGATAAAGTTCCTTAAAAGATAATCGTGAAGAGTGAGAAACTGTAGGTTGAGCTTAGGGAGAGCAAAACAACCTTTAAAAAGAGAGGAAAAAGAGAGAAGATGGACATTATACTGGAACATTAAAATAAAAATAAAAAGAGACAAAGAGAAAACTACATAGAATACAATATACATGTACATCTATCATGAAGATGTGGAAATTACATGCATAAATTACACCATATATCATACATGTACAGTACATTATAAACAGTAAGTACTGTATATTTAATTTGTACCTTCTCCTTCAAAATACTCGTTAGGTACGAAGCTCTCATCCCAGAGGACAGTCTCAGTGGGGTAAAGTGGCATACTGTTGAGTTCTTCGAGTTGCGAGGTACGTCTCTCATGATGAGAGACTAGTATCTCAAGGAGAAAGGAAGGACTGTAAGAGGTTTGTAGGTCAGTATCAGGTAATGGAGGAACAAGATGGAGGTAAGCAGCAATCCTGTGCAAGACTTCAGGACTAAAGAGGGAGAGAGAGATACAGTAGAGAAAAAGTATTTAAAATGTAGGCAAAAAAGTATATATGGTATAAAATTTTTGCAGCTACAAATCAAAAATTTGCTAGCAATTAACAGAACGAAATGGATGCTGAAACACATGTACATGATCGACAAATGGTCATACGTACCTCAATGCACTAAAGTGTCTCACGAGAGAGTCCCTAGTGTCGACTCCAGCAACAGTCGATAATGAGAACTCTCGAAGATCAGGGAAGAGTTTGAAAGCCGCCAGCTGGAGGGAAGTGATCCTCTCATAATGCTGACTCAGCATGAAATGCTCCGTGAGTGCCTCTCCTGTGTGGCTGTTCACTTCAAAGCCGCAATAGAACTTTAGCCGATCCAATAGCTGTAACAAAAAGGAGGTACTCTCAGTTTTTATAATTTATTCTAATGCATATACATGTTCTTATGTTGCATATCAATTTTGAATTGATTCCAATCAAGTTTGAATTTTTCTACAAATTTTATAAAACAGCTGTGATTTTGTACCTTAGAGAAGAGATGTCCTTCCGGTTCTCTTGAATATAATGAAGAATCTGAGCACAGAATCTAATAACGATAATAATAATAAAGAAATACAATAATAGCTCACACAACACAAGAGATATATGTACATGTACATGTACATGTAAATGTACAGCTTACAGTAAAGTGAATGTCATCAATTAGTGTCACTAGGAACCGTCTAGTTAATGGCTGACACTAAGAGAAAGAAAGAGAGAAAGTGAAGCATCCTTATTCACATGTTAATGTATAACACCTCCCAATTACCATGAGGTCAGTAATGAGTTCAATAAACTTCTCACAATAGTGACACAATGATGACTCAACAGGACCTATCAGTAAAGAAACATATATACATGTACTGTACATGTACATTGGTAACACTACCGGTGTCTGGTATATCCTTCACAATGTCAATAAAAATACGTATTAACTTATAAAGGAAAGACTTCTCATTGTTTTGCCTACATACAATGATAATAATATTTGTGTATGCACTATACAATGTATACAAGTATATGTACATTGCAGTTACCTGGCTAGAGTAATCTTGTCCATTTGTTTTTCTTTCTTCAGTAAAGCGTTCCAGTATTTCTTTAATTTAGGAAATGACTTTAACTCTTGTTCCAATCGACCCTTATACAGACCATCAGTATTATTATTATTATTATTATTATTATTATTATTATTATTATTATTTTGTTCATAATAGACTCACTGGTTCTAAGTTGACCCATATTCCAAGAGACACTAGCTTCTGTACTTCATGACGAACAAGCTCCACCTCCTGTTAGAAGGAAAGAAGGAGAGAGAGAGAGGGGGGAGAGTAAAGGAGAATAAGTGATGTAGATTGTAAGAGCAAGGGCCAAAGGAGAAAGGAAAGATGAAACATGTTAAAAGTGAGAGAATGTACTCACTAAACTATTGAAACTGTGTATCAGGAATGATAGAAGAACTGTTGCTTCAGGGATACACTCTTTATCTATAGGCAGCTATAAAGGAGAATAATAATAATAATGATGATGATGATGATAATAATAATAAAGAGAAATTGGTTTACTTTTTCGAATGTTTCAAGACAGGTGCTGGTAACACTTGCAAAGAAATGTGGAAACTTTTCCGGATTAACCTCTTCAAAAACCTGACGTAACCAACATTAATATTAACAAGTACAATGCATGTGTACCTTCCATGCTGGGACCCTCTCTCTGAATTTCTCATTGATCATGAGAACCAGTGACATTAGAACTGATTTGTTAGCTGTCGGTTCTTGTTCAAGATCAAAGAGAGGCCATAGATATTGCTCAAGATACTGACTGCTCTCCAGCAGCGTAACCAACCGATGAGACTCACTGGAGAGAGAACAAGAGATCAGATCGGAGAGGAAGAGAACAAAGCAAAAGGCAACTAACAAAATATGACAATATTTTAAAATGTACTTAGATTTGGTCACTGTCTCGTAAATGGTCTCCACCAGTGAGGGTTCCAGTACTTTTGGAGTAGTCCCAGGACCCCATGTCTGTCTTGCTATCTACAAACAAGTCAAAATGAGCAGATGATGATAAGAATGGACTGACTTGTAGGAGACGGGATTGGTCAGCCACAGAAGCTGATGAGGGGCCAGTTTTCTTGAACCTTTTCTCAGGCATTTTTGATTTTTTCACGTGGTCGTGGCGCTTTTTACACTTAGCCCCGCCCATAATAATAATATAGTCGACACACCCACTTACAAATCTAAAAATTTTTAGCTTAATAAAAATACTAATTATAATTATTATTATACTGCTAAATAATAACATTATGATGATAAGATAAAATAATAATAACACAATAACTCTGTTGTGTGCATATCTGTGCATGAAAGTACTTTGCAAAATGTTAAAATACTAATAAACTAAAATTAATTCTTGTTTCTAAGACGCGAGGATCTCCTCACAGCAGGCTCTACTGTCTCAACCTTCTTATCTGCAGTCGCTCCTCTGCGGGGTCTCTTAGACCCTGCAGCATTAGAAATGGCTTCATTATCTCCAGTAGAAGCAGCAACTTTCCTTTTCTTGCTAGCAGAAGGCTGAGGTGGTGGTGGTGCGTTTTCTTTCTCTTCTTCCTCTTCTTCCTTGCTCCCTACATTCCTTGATCGTAGTTGTCTTCTCGGTTTAGGCGTCACTTGGACTTCAGTTTTAGACTCCCTGCTAGTGGAAGGTTCCTCACCAGTTGCAGTGCTAGCCTTGTTACTTTTGCTACGTAGTTGTCTTCTTGGAGCTGGTTCTTCCAGACTCTCTCTCTCTTCCTCAGTGTCATTAGTCTTCTTGGAATTACGTAGCTCCCTTTGTGGAGGTGCTGGTGTCTCTTCAGCTTTTCCTTTTTTGCTTTGAGCTGGTTTCTTTTTTGAAGCAGACACTGTTACTGTCTCATCTTGTTCTTCACTAATCTTCTTATTGCTACGGGTTTGTCTCTGTGATGTCTTTAGCTGAGGCTCTTCTTTATTTTTGCTACGCAGTGATCTCTGAGTAGTGGTAGCAACAGCAACGGAATCCTCAACGGCTAAAGGTTTCTTGTTTCCATCATTACTGGAGGAAGTAGGATTGTGCCTATTTCGTGTTGATCTTCTCGGTACAGTATTTGTCTCTTTAACTGTCCCCCTCTTAGTCTTTCTGCTTGCATTGCGTTTGCCAGTTCCAATAGAAGGACTAGTGGCTCCTTCAGGGGCTCCTTGGAAGACAAATGGTCCTGAAGTACCACTAGAACTGGATTGTTGCCCAAACGCAAAGCTTCCAATATTAAGTGAAGGAACAAAAGAGGATTGTTTGGGAGACCCACGAGCCTCTTCCTCTGTCCCTTGTCTCAGCCTCTTGGCACTTCTCTCAGGAGTAGAGCTAACATTGTCCCACCCTCTTTTCCTCACAACCGGTCGAGAGAGCTTGATAACGTTACGAGGAGAAGGAGGGACTCTTGTTGTCACGTGTCTGAGAACCCGAGTGCTCTTAATCTCATTCTGTAAATTGATCTCCATCCTTTGCAGAATAGGTCTCAAATCAGATACGTTCGATGCAGCAATCTGAGCACGAAGCGGTGAAGGTAGAGATCTCTTGGTTGAACGGAGAGATGGCTTTGACTCTATCTCCTTCTTCAGTGGAGTGGGGATCTTCTTGTGTACTACGCGTAGTGATGGCTTTCCCTTAATGTCATTCCTCAGAGGTGAGGGTAGTGATCTCTTAGTCTTCCTTAGTTTAATGTTGCTGCTGGATATGGCATCTCTTAGTGGAGTAGGCAATGACTTCTTTGTCTTTCTCAAAGCAACTTTAGCTTGAAGAGCTGCTTTCAGTGGAGTAGGCAATGAGCGTTTTGTCTTACGGAGTGCAGGCTTTGCTTGAATAGCTTTACGAAGTGGAGTAGCCATTGATTTCTTAGTTATCCTAAGAGATGGTTTTGCTTGAATAGCTTTACGAAGTGGAGTGGCCATTGATTTCTTAGTTTGCCTAAGAGAAGGCTTTGCTTCAATAGCTTTACGAAGTGGAGTAGCCATTGATTTCTTAGTTTTCCTAAGAGATGGTTTTGCTTGAATAGCTTTACGAAGTGGAGTAGCCATTGATTTCTTAGTTATCCTAAGAGATGGTTTTCCTTCAATAGCTTTACGAAGTGGAGTAGCCATTGATTTCTTAGTTTTCCTAAGAGATGGTTTTGCTTGAATAGCTTTACGAAGTGGAGTAGCCATTGATTTCTTAGTTTGCCTAAGAGAAGGCTTTGCTTGAATAGCTTTACGAAGTGGAGTAGCCATTGATTTCTTAGTTTTCCTAAGAGATGGTTTCTCTTCAATAGCTTTACGTAGTGGAGTAGCCATTGATTTCTTAGTTTGCCTAAGAGAAGGCTTTGCTTCAATAGCTTTACGAAGTGGAGTAGCCATTGATTTCTTAGTTATCCTAAGAGATGGTTTTCCTTCAATAGCTTTACGAAGTGGAGTAGCCATTGATTTCTTAGTTTGCCTAAGAGATGGTTTTGCTTGAATAGCTTTACGAAGTGGAGTAGCCATTGATTTTTTAGTTTGCCTAAGAGATGGTTTTGCTTGAATAGCTTTACGAAGTGGAGTAGCCATTGATTTCTTAGTTTTCCTAAGAGATGGTTTCTCTTCAATAGCTTTACGTAGTGGAGTAGCCATTGATTTCTTAGTTTGCCTAAGAGATGGTTTTCCTTCAATAGCTTTACGAAGTGGAGTAGCCATTGATTTCTTAGTTTTCCTAAGAGATGGTTTCTCTTCAATAGCTTTACGTAGTGGAGTAGCCATTGATTTCTTAGTTTTCCTAAGAAATGGTTTTGCTTGAATAGCTTTACGAAGTGGAGTAGCCATTGATTTCTTAGTTTGCCTAAGAAATGGTTTTGCTTGAATAGCTTTACGAAGTGGAGTAGCCATTGATTTCTTGGTTCTGTTTAAGGAAGGCTTTGATTCAATAGCTTTACGAAGTGGAGTAGCCATTGATTTCTTAGTTTTGTTTAAGGAAGGCTTGGAAGCAATGGCACGTTTAATAGGAGTAGGCAAGGATTTCCCTCTGTTAGTTACTGCAATCTTAGTGCCAGGAGGAAGAGATGAGCGTTTCATCTTAGCTTTTTGAGCATGAGAAGTGGGCAATGACTTCCTTGAGCGCTTTGGAGATGGTCCACTATCAAGAGGAGTGCTAGGAGGAGTAGAAGGGAGGGTTGCTTCTAATCCTCTCTTTACTGAAGAGATAGGCTTCCTCACTAGAGGGCTCTTAAGTGGAGGAGGAGTGTGACACAAAACATCCAATTGTAAACTAGGTATGCTCCCCCTTTTAATGGGCGTGTTGGGAGGGAGGGTCCTATCAAAGTATTCCGGAGATAGAAGTGGACCAAACGAGACGTTTAAGGATTTCCTGCTTGACCTCCTGGGTTGAGAGGGAGGGATGGAGGTCAGTAAATCTGGCACCTCCTCTCTCTCCTCTTCCTCTTCCTCCTCGTTCATTGTTTCATTGTTTTCAGGGATAGGCTGCAGGAATGAAGCCCTGCTGGAGCTATGGTAGCGTTTCCTGCTCCGTGTTGGTGGTATAGGAGTAGGGACTTTAGTAACAGCTTGAGGATTCTGTACCTATGAGATACATACATATAAATGATGAGGGTAAATTTCATCAAAATTGAAAAGAAGAGAATTCCACATTTTAATAAATTCTCTGATACATATACATGTTCTTATGTTGCGTATCAAGTTTGAGCTGATTCCAATTAAGTTTGGATTTTTTATAAATTTTTAAAGTTGCTCAAAAATCAGGCCAAAGACCAAAGGCTATAGCCTTAGGTCATTGGCCAAATTTCGTCAAAATTGAAAAGGTGAGAATTCTCCATTTTTATAATTTTTTTCTGATACATATACATGTTCTTATGTTGCATATCAATTTTGAGCTAATTCCAGTGAATTTTGGATTTTTTATGAATTTTTAAAGTTGCTCCGAATGCCATGAAGCATGCTGTTTAGCTCTCTTAGGATGGTTTGGTGTAAAAATAACTGTTAAAATTTTTTAATTCAATTAAGACTAATCAAGCTCAATCACATGTACAAAATACTAGTTTATATGTATATTAAATCAACTATATAACATACCACAGTCTCAGAATTCTCTTTTTCATCTGCATCAGCTATTAAATCTGTACCTATTTGTACCTACATACATATAACATACACACAGTCATACATGTATCCATAAATGCTACAAAACTAACCTGTTCCCCACTCTCCTCCTCCTCTTCAATACTAGTCAAAATGTCCGTATGATAGTCAAAACGAAAGCGACAGGAGCCAATGCTCACAATCCCCTGGTTAGGGACAGGGACCTTTGACATGTTAACCTTCTTGTCATTTAACATAACGTTCTTGTCATCTTGATAATTAGTGATATAAACCTAGGGTAAACGAGTGCCGTGTATAATGGTTTTGCTAATGGTTTCATGTCTTTACTTGTCCGTTTTCTCCCACTTCTATCTTGAGCTGTTTCTTGGCTACTGTTGGGAGCTGAACACGAACATCACAGTCTTTGTCGCTATTTTATGAAATTAAATACAAATCATTGATTAATGTACACGTACAAGCAAACAGCATAGTCTACCATCCCTCCCCCTCTATATCTTGTATATGTCTCACCTGCCAATTGTGGACAGAGAGCCAGCAGAGAGTGATGTAGAGGAGCCATCTCCGCCATTTTTCTTAATATAAACTAGTGTTACTGGGTTTGATACTACTGCTTGGTCCATGGCTGTCAGAATGAACAACAAAAATAAAGTTTTCAGCAAAACAAAAGTAAACAAAAGGTAAAATTTTGAAAAAATGCGCGGGATTTTTAAACATTAAGTCACGTGACAAAGTTGGAATGCTTCTCTAATTAACGCTCACATGGGCGTAACTTCATAGGATCACGTGAGTAATAAGGGCGTGACGGTATTGTGTGTACTGGTTTTTTGGGCGGAGCTCGTTTTGGGACAACAAGGCTACTTTGAAAAAAAGAAGAGAGAGAAGAAAGCATAAGCTTTTACTTTTTGGGACGAGGAACAAAGAAAAGGACTAGTAATCATGAACAAACTAATGGATAGGATGTAAGTCTAAAAGCGACAATACAATAGGCCTCTTTTGTTCTCACCCCTAAATCAATTAAATAATGAATCCTCATTTTGGTGACAGTAAGTCTAGGATTATCACGTGAATAAAGTACAAATTTTAGCAAAATGCATCAGTTAGCTAACTACATAGGATGATGTGTATATTATACAACATAAACATAGTTTCCTTTCTTGTCTCATGTTTTTCTCCTGTGACATAGGACCAATGTGGTCATGAATTACTCTGATGTCGAGACTAAAGTCCGTGAAGCAACCAATGATGATTCCTGGGGGCCCCCTGGTACGCTAATGGGAGAGATTTCCAAATATACTTACACTTACGAGCATCATCCTGAAGTGATGGCCATGCTCTGGAAGAGAATGTTTGAATCAAAGAAAAACTGGAGAAGAACTTATAAGGTGAGTTTGAAATGCATTCTAAACTACTATTAGAGGATTTTTTGAATTTTTTACTTTAATAGTAATAACAGTAGTGGGTTCTATTTTTTGCTTTTTATTCTATTATCTTACTTTATTTTCTAGTCCTTGCTCCTTCTCTCTTATCTTATTAACAACGGCTCTGAGCGTGTGGTCACAAATGCTAGGGAACATATTTACGATATGAAGCCACTTGAGGATTACGTCTTTCGTGATGAACAGGGAAAGGACCAAGGAATTAATGGTAGTGTTTATACTCTCCTCCTTCTCTTCATAAGAAAAATATCTGTTTATTCTTTTACCATTTTTTCTCTATTGCATCTAACACTATCACTTATTTCTTTTTATAGTTCGTCAGAAGTCAAAAGAAATTATTTCTTTCCTTCAAGACGACGAGAGACTCCGAGAGGCTAGGAAGAATGCTAGGAAGACTCGTGATAAGTTTGTAGGGATATCATCCAATGACGTCAACTCTCAATACAGTAAGACTGTCACTGTATGTTGAGTGTAAGAGACTATTCCAACATGAATGGATCCTGTACATACTGTCAATGACACTTATTTGGTAGTGCAACCACATTAGTGAAATGGTGGCATAGTCTATACTCTAGTACTATAATCACAATTACTTTCCATGAGGCACAAGCATTTACATGTACTATTAGACTTACTAGTACTACTGTTACTACATGTTTTGTACTATTCTCTTCATATATACATGTACATGTAGTTCTTGTACTTTTACTTGCACATTTTAAATTATCAAGGCTTCAATGCACACAGATTTTGTCATCATTTAGTTTTATCTCTTTGTTTTCTCTTAAGGCGATCGTTATGATCCTGAACCCAGGCCTCGCTCTAACTTTCAAAACAGCCCGAGGTCCAGAGATTATAAAGATGACTTTGATGACGAGGAAGATCGTATATCTAGGAAACCCTACAGAGACATTGACGACGAACAAGTGACTAGAAAACCTTATAGAGATGAGAGCCCGTAAGCTAATAATGACATAGCAATAGAAGTTGCATAATGTACATGTACATGCTACATACCAGAATGTATGATGTAATCTTTATACATTAGTCACTTGACCTTTAAAGTTGCCCTTTGCACTATGCTCTCAAAGTAGTTTGAAACCAGTTTAGGTGTGGACACAATTAAGCTGGTTTCTGAATTGCTTTAATGTAAACTGGTTTGTGGTGATTTAACTACTAATGTATATTTAACAGGCTATTATTAAGCCTAAATTGTATCTTATATATTAATGTAGATCTCCAGAAATCTCTAGGAGAGACCCTGATATTGGAGAAGATGTTTTTAAAAGTCAAAAGAAGCCGTCTTCCTCTGCTCCTTCCACTGCTACTGCCCAGCCTTCTAAACTAGTGGATCTTGGAGCTGCTGCTAGATTAGGGGTACCCAGTCAACCCCAGCCTCCTCCTCCCTCCTCTTCAAGTGGACTAGATGATATTTTTGGTGACTTCTCTTCCTCTCCTGCCATGCCAAGAGCAGATCATCAGCCACAGCCAGCACAGCAACGTTAGTTGTAGCTTTAGCCAAATAAATACTTTCAATTCTTAAACAACTAAGCTTTGTATGATGTTACATTAAACTATAATACTAATTATGCCATGTTTTACATTTTTGCAGAATCAGGTGGTTTTGCTGATTTTGGAGATTTCTCTTCTGTTCCTACAGGAGGAGGAGGAGGAGGCAGCAGTGCTTCTGCTGCTCCTTTTGCTGATTTTGGTTCCTTTCCCTCTCAACCACAGCAGCAGCAGCAGCAGCCACAAGCTCCTCAACCTGACATTCTTTTTGCTGATTTCTCTTCATCGGGCTCACAACCTATGATGCCATCACAAACAGCAGTGAGTCTATATATGCATACACATTATACTAATGAATGTACATGCACTTCTTTATTTTCATTAATATCCCTCTATCACAACAGCCTCTAATGCCATCAGTATCAAAACCTGTTGCTGCCACTACTACTGCCCCAAAATCCACACAACAGGTAAGAACTTGTCCTTATTATTTACTTATTAATTAATTATTATTATTATTGTAGTCGGATCGTTCAAAGTCTAAGTTATGGACGACACCAGGTGTTAACATTGATCTTGACAACTTGATGAGTTATAAGCCAAAGAACACGACGGCAGCCCCCACAATGAATCAAATATCAGGCACAGCATCTCCTGGTCAGGTTCGCTCCTCCCCATCCTCAGGTCCCAATTATAATGTAGATCTCTCCGGAATGAACCGGGGGCCGCCAACAGGACCTGCAATGGGCTCGTTTCATACCGGCATGATGTCCAGTGGCATGGGAATGGGAGGAATGAATCCTGGAATGGGATCTGGCATGGGAATGGGAATGAATCCTGGAATGGGATCTGGTATGGGAATGGGAATGAATCCAGGAATGGGAATGAATCCAGGAATGGGGATGGGGATGAATCCAAGTATGGGAGGAATGAATCCTGGCATGGGAATGGGGATGAACCCAGGCATGGGAATGGGGATGAATCCGGGTATGGGAATGGGAATGAATCAAACAGGTATGAGGATGACACCAGGTTATGGTATGGGAGGGGGAGGCTACTCACAATTCGGAGGACTTCAGTAAAAACTATTTTTTTATTAATGAGACATTCCCATTATAACTGCTACTGTGGTCAACCATTATTATTATTATTATTATTATTATTATTATTATTATTATTATTATTATTATTATCGTTATTATTATGCAATGGAGGCATTAGTTTAATTGTATTATCATTATTATGTTGTTTTTGTTATTATTATTATTATTATTATTATTATTTCATGATAGTATTTGTAACATGTCGTTGTCTTTTTTACAATATTAAACAGACCATCCTTAATCTATTCATAACTCATAATGCAGCAACACACAGTATTGTATCTATAGTAGGATCACTGCTAGTCTGAAGTTTATTCACGAATGTTGTATTAACTTTGGGGTGTAGCCCATCAGTATCATATTATCCTGTTTTTGATGGGCGTGTGTTCATTTTGCATAATTATGTTGCTAAGACACACATAAACTGGCCATGAATCCTTTTATTATTAATCATGATTCGTAAGTACTATAGTAAAATTTATTGTCATGCAGGGTTTCCCACAGGATTTTGGCATAGTGTTGATCATTGTGTAGTTTATGATGTAGTGTGTGTGTGGGTCTTGTGTGCTTCAATAGTCAATCATGGTATAAAAATAAATAAATGAATTATAAATTACAAAGTATTTTAGATTAATAGCTACAAAAGAATTGCATGTGCTAAGTTTTGCACAAATATAATAACTTAAGACACCAGTGTTGCCTGAGGATGCTTGCTGTTATAATACACAGACTTAGTAGGATTGGCAATCTCTCCGGAGAGTGTTTTATCATTGTTAAAGTTCTCACCAGTCGCTTCATACTCTTGCATCTTTCTCCTCTTGTTAACAACCAGAAGAACAATAATGATAACCAAGAGTATACCAACTACAAAAAAGTAGAGTCAGTTCAATCAAAGGATGCTTACTTATGACAACTGATATAGGCAGTATGTAGTACAGGAGAGTTAGATCAGTTGTTGTAGTTACATATAAGCTACCTAAAATGATGAATGACTCATTGCCTTTATAGTAATCAATAATCTCCACATACAAGTAAAGTTTCCTGGGGTATTGACACACATTTCTGTGCAGTTCCCATTGTTCAATTCACATTCATTCACATCTAATGTTCAAGTATAATTGTATTTCATCATCTTACTGTTTCTTCTCTTACCAGAGCAGCCATGTTGATTGCTATTGAGCATATAACCAGAATTGCATTCACAAGTGTACGACCCAATCTCATTCCTGCATTTATGATCGCAGCCTCCATTGTTAACTAAACATTCGTTGATATCTACAAATCAAGGATCAACATACAATGTGAGTTAATCTTATAGGAGTACCAGAGCAGGTGATTCCATTATTATCCAATTGATATCCAGTTCTGCAGGAGCAGAGAAAGCTACCGATAATGTTTAAGCAATTTTGAGCACAAATATTAACAGTGTCCCCAAGATTACACTCATCTTTATCTGAAAGAAAGAAGCATTTAAAAGTACAAGATGAGTCTAATTAAGCATGCATGCAGTGTCCTGCTCATCCATGTAGCAGTACATTAATTTACACATTATCACTCCATTATTCTAAAGTCTGCATGCACAGTCATGCACTGTTCTTATGGCTTTGACATACCATAACAGTTTCTTCCATCAGAGCCTATGTCAAATCCAGTTCCACACAAGCACTGATAGCTCCCATCAGCATTAATGCAAATATGATCACAGCCACCATTATTTGTGTTGCATTCATTGGAATCTACAATAAATGTAACAATCATCATTGCAACACGACATATAACATACCCACACAGGATTTTCCATTGTCAGTGATGTGATAGCCTGGCAAGCAAGAGCAGTTATATGTTCCGTTAACATTGATGCATCTATCAGAGCTATCACAAGAGTGATATCCCATACTGCACTCATCCACATCTACATGAAACCAATTCGATTTATTGTGCAGCAACTCAATATCCCTCTTACCATTGCAATGGTGGTGATCAGAGCTGTCTATCATGTAGCCATAATTGCACGAGCAGTAATAGCTACCATTAGTGTTAGTACAGGTATGCTGGCATCCTCCATTATTAGTAGCACATTCATTGATGTCTATATATGCATGCATCAAATTGAAAAGATGCAGGCCCAAAATATATACAAGACATACCAGTGCAATCTGGATTAAAGCCAGGCATGCATGAGCTCCCTGTGGCTGTACTTACTACTATACATGAAGACAAATAACAATGGTAGAGGCCTATGATTGCATTGTAATATACCAGAAATGAGAACTGCAAATCCAGCTAGGGCTCTTAAACACCACAGCTGCCTCATTGCTAGTAAAATGCTACTTGATCTTGTGAACAATAGTAGAGCAACTTAATTACTCTGCTGCTTCATGAGTCAGCTCAGCCCAGCCCACTTGCACAAATGCCAAGAGAGAGTGTCAGTAGTGGTCTATCACCTGACCAATGTAAGTATTCATGAGTGGTCATTGGTCAAATGAATTATAATGACACAAAAGAACAATAGGAAAGTTTAAACTATCATAAAATTCACAAGAAACAGCTCTAAGTGGCTTTTTTATGGTAAGCTATGGAAAGGGCCCTGCCAACAGGAATCATGTATTAATATAAATGCTTTAATATCTAGTCTGAAGTGAAGGAGAGCATGCTGGGATTCAAATTAATAATAACAAAATTAGTACTAATTTTTATAGAATAATAGACTTACCAGTGTAAAAAGAACATGCATAAAGGGACTAAGCACTACTGCAAATGCAGTTATGCATAGATGGAAGCAAGAGTCACTTTGATACTATCTAGCAGATAATAGTATTTTATGCGCATGCGCGTACCCACGTGCTATCATGATGCCTTTCTCAAAACTATGCTATTGATAAAACCAGAATTACTAGCTTTAATGTAACACTAAAAAGGGCCTAATGCGATGTCTTTATGCCTATCACGAACCAGAAACTTCCCTTCTCTAGTATTCTTCATATTCGAAGAATTGAGGAACAGAAGTAGGAGTAGAATTAGGTCCTGACCTAGTTTGAGTAGGAGAAGGACTAGTAGTAATAGTAGTACTAGTAGGAGCAGGACTATTCGTACTGGTAGGAGCAGGACTGGTTCTAGTAAGAGAAGGACTTCTAGTAGGAGCAGGACTATTAGTACTAGTTGGAGCAGGACTAGTACGAGTACGAGAAGGACTTCTAGTAGGAGCAGGACCATTAGTACTAGTTAGAGCAGGACTAGTACGAGTACGAGAAGGACTTCTAGTAGGAGCAGGACTAGTACGAGTACGAGAAGGACTTCTAGTAGGAGCAGGACTAGTACGAGTACGAGAAGGACTTCTAGTAGGAGCAGGACTAGTACGAGTACGAGAAGGACTTCTAGTAGGAGCAGGACTAGTACGAGTACGAGAAGGACTTCTAGTAGGAGAAGGACCAGGTTGAGATGTTCTGGAGCCACCAATAGGAGGTCCAGGAGGACCTCGGGGGCCAGGGGGACCAGGAGGACCTTGGGGGCCACGAGGACCAGCAGGACCTTGGGGGCCACGGGGACCAGGGGGACCAGTCCTACCAATAGGACCTGGTGGGCCAGGGGGTCCTGGTGGGCCAGGAGGTCCTGGGGGTCCTGGGGGGCCAGGAGGACGAGGCTTCATTGTAGATACAGGATGAAAAGTTGAATCATCTTTGAACTTTTCTGTATCATTGTACTGTCCTGCCCTGACCTGAAGTTTTACATGCCTCATGAATGAGCCCCATTTAGTTGTTGAGGCAAAAGAGATCTCATGTGGATTGCCCAGTCCGTTTCTTGGTATCCAAGTAGCAGACTTCTTAAAACCTTGCTTGCCATCATCAGGTCTTAAGAAAACATTCATCTCATCTTGTACTATGAAATGTTTACGCTTGCTGACTGCTTCTAAGCTGACGCCTTCTCCATTTAGACCACGAACAACTCTAAAGATGGTGTCTTTAGTGAAATTCTTATCCTTTCCATCATTCTCCTCAAGCATCACATCCCCCTTCTTGTGGCGAATGAAAAACCCACGTAAGTTGGATTCAAATTGAAGCCTTCTTCCTAATATACTGTTAGCTCTCAGAGCGTTCTTCTTGTGATTATCACTGGTAACAAGTACCAGAAGAGAAGAAACTAGAACAAGAAATGTCACTGCACTGAGCTTCATTTCTTTACTTCTCCGTAATTTTGTAAGTCTGACATACCTGCTTGCTTCTTTTATATGGTTTCTTCATTTCATCAAACTATGTTTGTTTATTTAAAATTATGCGTGATGACTTATAGCTAATTACTGGTTATTTTCGAGATCAAATTAAGGCACTGATTGTTTGCTTAGTCTCATTTCTTGCTTATGTTATTAGTTTCATTGAATGCTTAATTTGATAAATTAAATATTACTGCTTGTTATAAACTTGGATGCAATTAAGCTTCACTTCTGGTCAAGACTACTCATGATTTGGCTTTAGAGAGACCATTGTTGTTCTTTTATAATGAATGTGAATCCATCCAAAATCCATATAATTTAGCACTAACAGCATCTGTTCGTTTATACATGAATCAAAATCGTCACATAAGACTAAATGATATTAATATTGTGTAAAAATGACAAGTACACAGTTGCATGCATGCACATATGCACACGCAATCTATTGATGTGCAGCAGTTTGTGAATAACTAACAAAATTCCTTTTGTAATTTATTATTTTTGCAAATCTTAAAAGACTAGTGTGCATGCATGCACATACTAAGATAACATGTTCTCAATAAATTAAGTTTTTATTGATAAAATTCTGCTACTAAAGATCTAATAACTACAACACCTAATGTAATGTCTTTATATGAATCAAGAGCTTCTCCTCTTTACTGTTCTATTCTTCATATTCAAAGAATTGAGGACCAGAAGTGGGACTAGGCCTTGCAGAACTAGTAGGAGCAGGGCCTGCAGTACGAGAGCGCCTAACACTAGTAGGAGGAGGACCAGGACGAGATGTCATGGTTGGACGTGGAGGGCCTGGGGGACCTGGAGGAGGACCAGGGGGACCTGGAGGAGGACCAGGGGGGCCTGGAGGACCAGGGGGACCTGGAGGACCTGGTGGCTTAATTGCAGGTACAGGGCGGAAAGTTGAATCATTTTTGAACCTTTCACTATCTACGAATTCTCCTACTTTGACCTGGCGCAGTACATGCCTCATGAAATGTCCAGGTTCAGTAACTGATGCAAAAGAGACTCCATGTGGATTGGCCAGCCCGTTTCTTGGCATCCAAGTAGCAGACCTCTTAAATCCTTTTTCATCAACATGACGTTTTAAGAAAACATCAGTCCCATCTTGCACTATGAAATATTTAGATCTGCTGTCTGCCTCTAAGCTGATGCCTTCTCCGCTTAGTCCAGGGACAACTTTAAAAATGGTGGCTTTTCTAAAATCCTTGTCCTTTTCATCCTTTTCCTCAATCACAACATCTCGCCCTTTGTGGCGTAGGAAAAATCCACGTCTGTCAGTTTCAAATCGAACTCTTTTTCCTAATAAATTGTTAGCTCTCAGAGGAGGAGGCTTGCGATTATCACTGGTAACAAGTACCAGAAGAGCAGCAGCTGTACCAATGAGAAATAAGAGTTTCATTTCTACTTTTCTCTTTTGCGATAATTCTTTTTCTTAATGGTCATAAGTGACTAAGTCTTACTTCTTTTATAGTCTCTTCACTGATGATTAATCAATCCTGTGTTTGTTTAATGTATCTGGCTCAGTGATGATTTATAGCTGATTATTGGTTATTTTAAGGTCAATTATTAAACCACTGAGTGTTTGCTTTATAACCTCATTTCTTGCTTATATAATATTAGGGTTTCTGCTTCTTAATTTAGTGGAATATTAGCTGCTAAGTAATTAATGGGCTGATGACCACATTTTCACTTAAATTTTCACCTCAAAGTGGGTTATATACAATTTTAAAAATTTTTACCTAAAATTAAAGTCAAAATTGAAGCTATTGAATCTCATTTAAAGGGGTGGGGCAGTAGGCGGGATCAGAAAGAGTACAAAGCTGCTACTGATGGGGACTATAGAGAGCAAGTTTTGCCAGCTAATTGTCTCAGACAGTCTAGGCGAGGCCATCAAATTATGGCAGAGCAACGAGGAGCTACAAAAGATCAACGTTAACACTGGACTGAAGGGATCCCGCAACAAGGACCCGCCATTACACTGTCTCCTGAGACACGGGAACTATCGCTCTGCTGACATGAAGGGACTGTTACAAATACTATTAGACAAGGGGGCCAATCCCATCTCCCTTAACAGCATGAGTGAGACTGCTCTACACATACTCTGTTGCTCTCAGAGACAAGGTGCGAGGGAGAACAAGGCCAGATGTGATGTCCTGGAAATCCTCTTACAGCGTCTTCCCAATCCAGACACACGTACCAGTACTGCCACTGCTAAACAAGGAGGCACCAGGAAACTAACAAAATGGCTTGGAATGCAAGACTCGGTATGCGTACATGTACATATGTACACGTACATGTATAATAATTATGATATTAATTTCATAAGTAAATTGAATTACAAATTTAATGAATCCTACATTTAGGCTATCGCCTATATAATAATTTCATTTTAGCGTTCACTACTTCTTTCAGTCAATGCAACTTTCATATGGCCACCCATAGCTGCATGTACGCGTACATTAAGAATTAGGGAAGACATGTTTGTATTTCTATTAGATGTTATTGTATCTGTGCCTAACTATCGCTTGAGATAACTGTTGAATTCTTTACGAGCACATTTTATGAATATAATAATTATTTAGACTTTAGTTTTCATTCATGAATGTTTTGACAGGCATACATGTACCTTGTTTTCATGTTACGTGTACATACGTATATTATGATAATTTATTTACTCAAATTTATAGTCGCAAAACACAGCGCTTCACCTAGCAGCTGCTTCAGGGTTACTAGACTGTGTTGAGGTATGTAAATGTAGTCTCATATTAAGTGTACTTATAATAGTATAGTAATAGTAATTTATATTTTAATTTAATATTAATTTGTTGTAATGATAACTTATAGCTATTGCTGGCCTATGGTGCCCCACTCTTTGTGACTAACATTGCAAAGAAGACAGCAATGGAGTCTGCAGTGGATGCCAAGCAGATGATAATAGCTCAGTTCTTAGAGTCACAGATGGTCATTAACGATGAAGTATGTCCATATACATGTGCCCTGTCTCTCATATTGAAATCTTCTTAGCTCAAGGACATGTGTACATGTACATGTACATGTATGTACGTGTAAATTTTTAGTTTTGTTCCCAATTAATTTATCAGCTGTGATTGTTACACAAGCTGTTCATTTGGTACATAATAGTAATAATAATTAACATAATGGAAACAATGAGTTACCTTTCAGTTTAACTTTGTGTATGTACACGTACATGTTTATGTAATGTGTGTTTTATTTTACTGTAGAAGGGTTCGTCTGGGGATTTCAAAGAAGCCCTCCCTGTCAAACAGAAACTCCAAGTGAGTATTTAATAGTTGTTGACAATCTGTTAGTGTCCCTCAGTCATTCTATAATCCTGATCAACTGAAGGCCATGCAAGAAGATTTAGTAAAGAAAGTTTCTGAAGAACTTAAAGTAGGAGATGAGCTTTTACATGTATATTGCATTAGTAAAATGTCTTTGTGTATTGTAGATAGTACCTGATGCTGCAAGAGCACTGCTCTCATCTTATAGTGAGTAATGTGGAGGGAGGGGAAGGAGGAGGGATTTTAGCCCAATAATAATAATAATAATAATAATAATAATAATGATAATGATAATGATAATAGTAATAATAGTAATAATAATAATAATAATAATAATAATAATAATAATAATAATAATAATAATAATGATAATAATGATAATAATAATAATAATAATAATAATAATAATAATAATAATAATAATAATAATAATAATAATAGTAACAAAGACGATTATAATCTGAAAATAAACCTCACTACCTACATTAATTATTATAGTGACACCACCAGCCCACACAGTGATACATGTACTGTATATCTACTGTATCATGTAGCCCACTGACTGTTGACAAGATTGTGATGATAATACCAAATACATGTACAATGTAGGTTGGTCACAGGATCTGGTAACTGATGCATGGAAAAAGAACAAATCTGAAGCTTGTGCAAAGGCTGGATTGGACATGGCACATGTTCACAGTAAGTATTGACATTAATTTGTTTGTTTATTTGTTTATTTGTTTGTTTATGTATGTATAAATTATTAAAAAACTGTCTCTTGGGCTTTGTACATGTATATACATTACAAGAGTACAGGAATGTTATAGTTCATTGATTAATTGATGTGCATGTGTCTTGTTTGATGGTGTCAATGTTTCATTAGATGCTAGTCAAGTTGCTGAGTCAATATCTCAGAAATGCTGTGAGATATGCTACGAGGCGATATCTCTGAACGAGAGAACTGAAGTACCTTGTGGCCATCACTTTTGCAGGGACTGCTGGGCATCGTAAGTACACACACACACACACACACATCTGACATAACCTTTACTTTTATTGCTTTCACTATCCCTTCCCCCCCTCTCTCTCTAGTTATCTTGAAGTCTCTGTTAAAGAAGGTGGTGGTAAGGATATCTCTTGCCCTGGTCATGACTGCTCTACACCGGTTCCTATGGTAAGAGTCAGTTCCTTTTAGTCAAGGAATAGTAAATGACTGTATACTAGTACCAGCTGGTATATAGTCTATTTGTACATTTAGCATTATACTATGTGCAATGGTAATTTATACATTTATACTCCTAATAGTTTTACTAGTATGACCATGTGTACAATTATACAGTGTCTTTTTCTTTTCACCTCTCTCTTCCTCTTTTAGGCTATCATTGCTAAACTGGTCTCAGATGAACTCTACAGGAAATATTCGGACTTAAATGTCCAGGTATGAGAGTTTGACTGTAACTCCATAAAGTACATCGTGTCTCTTTACTTTATAATAGCATTTTGTTGACAGCAGTAAGGATTTCAAGTGGTGCCCTCACCCTAATTGTAACCAGGCTGTGATGAAAGGAGAAGTGAGAAAGGCTGCTCCCGAACTTGGCAAGCAGCACGGGATTAATGTGGAATGCGGTAACGGACACGGTTTCTGTTGGAACTGTAATAAACACGCCCACGAGCCGTGTGAGTGCGAGGTCTGGGCCAAGTGGCTTAGTGAAATATCAAGAATGGCAGCTGGTTAGTTAGACCTCTCCCGCCTCTTTCTCTCTCTCTTTTACAAGTTATAATTTGTATTTGTACTATCAAGAGTAAATAATACCTAAAAGTATTAACATATAAATAGGTATTAAATACCTATTTACTCTTGGTACTATGCAACAAGAGAATGTAAAGTCTTCCTTTTTCTTGTTATGTGGAACAGCTTCACTTATATGCATGTTCATTCTTTATTTAAAAGACAAGTTAGAAAGGATCTTGTATGTTAGTCTTACAGGTTACAACTAGACTAATGAACTTATAGAAGAATGGAGATAAGTTTTATAAAGTTATTTTTTCTTGATCAGATGCTAACCTTGATATGTCCAAGATAGCGGAACAGGCTGAAGCTGACGCTCAGTGGATCATTAACAATACTAAACCTTGTCCCAGCTGCAGCTGCCCTATACAGAAGACTGAGGGATGCAATCACATGACATGTAGAAAAGTATGTTCATGTACAATAAGCTAAATGTAACGGATAAGCTTAAAACATCAATGCAAGTTTATACTGTACATGATATGATATGAGCAGTGTACATGTAATTTAGGAGTCAATTTTTGGATAAATGTACCTATGTATTTACTTTGTATGTGGATAGTCTATTATTATTTACACTTCTATATTGTTGTATTTTATTTGTAGTGCTATCATGATTTTTGCTGGGTCTGTCTCGATCCATGGGGGGATCACAGTTACAGGACCGGAGGGTATTTCTCTTGCAATCGCTACATAGCCCAGAGGAGGGCCAGTGGAAGGGTTAATGAAGCACGCAGTAACATGGTAAAGATAATGATTGATGTGTTGAGAAATATTGATTTAGCCCATGGTTTTTTCCAAAAAATGGCTCCGAAATGACCCCCAATTTTTATTACATTTTCTGATACATATTGATGTACTTATGCTGTGTAGCAAGTTTAAGCTGATTCCGACTTCAATTTTTCAAGTTACGGCCATTTTAAGAAAATGCTAAAATCTTGAAAAGTACCCAAGGCTATAGCCCATGGTTTTTTCAAAAAAATTGCTCCAAAATGACTCCCAATTTTTATTACACTTTCTGATACATATTGATGTTCTTATGCTATGTAGCAAGTTTGAGCTGATTCCGACTTCAATTTTTCAAGTTACGGCCATTTTAAGAAAATGCCAAAATCTTGAAAAGTACCCAAGGCTATAGCCCATGATTTTTTCCAAAATATGGCTCCGAAATCACCCCCAATTTTTATTACACTTTCTGATACATATTGATGTACTTATGCTGTGTAGCAAGTTTGAGCTGATTCCGACTTCAATTTTTCAAGTTACAGCCATTTTAAGAAAATGCCAAAATCTTGAAAAGTACCCAAGGCTATAGCCCATGGTTTTTTCCAAAAAATGGCTCTGAAATCACCCCCAATTTTTATTACATTTTCTGATACATATTGATGTACCTATGCTGTGTAGAAAGTTTGAGCCGATTCAAATTAGAGATTTTCGAGTTATGGCCATTTAAAAAACGGGCCAATTTTTTTAAAAGTGTATACATGCAGTTTGGCCTGATTTTTGAACAACTTTAAAAATTCATTAAAAATTTAAATTTGATCGGAATCAGTTCAAACTTTCTACGCAACATAAGAACATGTATATGAAAAAATTATAAAAATTGAGAAGTCTCTCCTTTTCATTTTTGACAAAATTTGGCCAAAGACAATGGTGAAATACAATGGACATTAATCATATCATTAATATTATGTTATGCAATTGTTTCTTCATAGGCTAAGCAGTATCGTAAGACAGCTACCGAAGATGCTAAAAGACAGTTAGAAAAGTTCACTCATTATCATGATCGCTATATGAATCATCTCCATGCCATACAGGTATTAGCAATTTAATGTACATGTACATGTACATGCACAGTATAATGATAGAAGCTATAGCTTAAAATTTTATCAATATTAAGCGTCACACAACTGCATAAATTTTAGTATAAATAATTGATTTCTTTTTTAATTTTGACATTAACTTTTTATGATCATATAATTCCCTTATACACGTACACTGTAGATTGAGTGCCAGATTCTAGCCATGTCTCAGGCCAAGACTAGATCATTAATGTCGATGAGGAAAGTAGTGGAGAAGAAAGTTGCCAGTAAAAGGCAGTCCCACGATGACATCAAAGCCAGCTTAAGACCAGGTTTTAAGATAGCTCCACCTTCGGCTAAAGACATCAATCCTGACGACGCAGAGAACTTTCTAGAAGGAGTCGTTCGTGTGTTGCTTCATTCTCGCCGGATTTTATCAGCGTCATATGGTATTGGGTTTCTGATTCCTGACGAGAAGAAAGAAGTGCGGGAGGCACACGAAACTTTACAAGTAAGAGAAAGGGGAGAGAGAAAAAGGTGATAAAACAATTTAATGTTTTATTCATTTAAAGTCCCACAATACATTTTGCTCTCATTATTTATAATTGTCTAGTTGCCAATAGCATTTTAAAAATACACTTTCTGTTTAGGGAAAACTAGAGGAAGTTGTCGAGAGTTTGGCACAAATGGTCAACCGGTCTTACTTGAACACGCCGAGAGCAGAGATGGCATCCCGTGCTCGTGACGTTGACTTTATATGTCAAGAATTCATTGAAGTGATGAGAGAAGTGGTGCTTAGCGGACTTAGAGAGGAACCGCCCCCTCCACGCCCACCACGTCCCCCTACTCCGGAGGAGGTTGAAATTGAGATTGACCCGTTGATCCTGTTTGCTCACCTTGCTATGAGGAATGATCCTCAATTTAGGGAAATATTCAATCGTCTTATGGCAGAGAACGATGATGATGATGATGCTTAGCACTAACTGTATATGAAAGGCAGAAAAGAGGAGACTAATGTATTTTAGCTATTAACGTTCAACTATTTCATATTATTGTTATCATTATTGTTGTTGTTATTGTCGTTATTATTGATTGCTTTCTAGCTGTTTATAATGATGAATTATTATTATTATTAAAGTTATTTTTTTGATTTCTTGATCAAGCTCAGTCTTTGCTTGTGTGCCTCATTGGCTGGGCCAGAAGAAGGTGGAGGCTTACTACGTCCTTCCTGAGGGAATCCTGGCAGCCACATATTCCAACTGTTCTCTATAAAGAACATTAACGATTAATGGAAACATAATATTGACACAATTACTATTATTGTACAATACTAAAGAAATATAATATAATACCTAAGTGAACTTGTAGGTCTTTTAGTTCCAGTGTTGATGATTTCCTGTGCTTTGCTAGTCTGCACGATGAGGAGACTACACTCTCTATGAAATCATCAGCCAATTGCATCAATAACTAGTGGAATTTAAAAAAAACCAAAAAGTAGTTTATAATCTAATCCAGTTTCATACCTCTTCTGCGTCTTCATCCAGAGTTTGATTCGGATCAACTTCTCTCACTAGGTCGTGGAGTCTCTTACGATTCAAGGGCTGTATGAAACAGGCACTACATGATACCATAACTTCAAATATTGGCTCTACTCACTGTTTTACTGCTGGACTCCATGATGGAATGGGTGTGGCAATGTTGATGTTTAACGTTTATTATAAAATAGGCGTGGTCATTATTTTAATAAAAATTTCTTGCAGCTATCTCGTGTCACGCATTGAGTTTATACACGATACACTTTTTACAAGCCACAACTTTCAAGGTACAAGAACAAGATGGAAGGACGCAGCAGTGGCAGGTTTGCTGCCACCCTGAAGCGTTCTAGTAAAAAGACCTATCTCTTGCTTTGGAAGAATTGGCTTCTGATTTTAAGGAGACCCGTAAGCTGCTGCTGTAATGTCCCATTGTGTTTAGTAACAATCCTTCAATCTCCAGGTCTCTCTTGTGGCCGAAATATCCATTCCACTCCTCCTCTATCTAGCACTAGTCATATTGCGACAGATTTATGGACCAACCGCACACTGTGATGGTAAGAGAAGACTGGCTCCTCCTGTCACGATAATGCACTTCTTTGTCTTTCTAAACTCTTTATTTCAGAGTTGTTTCGTCCCATGGGTCTACCATCAGCAGGTTTCCTACCATTTGCACAGACCATGATGTGTGATTTGTCGTCCCAGCCTTCAGAGTACTCATCAGATATGCCTATATTCCCAAATGCTAAGTAATCATTTCTTGCATGTCCTTTCTGCTATGACTGGCTCTTTCTTCTCTGTTTATGTATGCCTGTTTGTTGATTTTTTTTCTCTGTGCCTTAGCTACCAGTTTCACTGCCTCTTTTTTTCCTTATTCCTCTTCCTCTCTCTCTCATTCTCTTCTAGTGTATCAAAGTTATACGATTTACTAGACGACAATTTTATTGAGAATTTTGCGAGTGACTATTGTAGCTCTTTACAGACGTTTGGTGGTAACATCAACTGTAACGCTTACAACCCAAATGCTCTTAATGGTGAGAGAATGTAGCTAAACATAAACTCTAAGTGCTTCTCTATGCATTAGTAAATGTAGGAGGAGGTGTATCTGTATGTGTGTGTAATAAGTGTGTGTGTGTGTGTAGGCAAGTAGATACAAGTAGAGATTGGCATTCATTTGTTACTTTTATATGTTTGACTGATATTTTTCATGTGTATCACTCTTTGGTCACATGACTAATGTTTCATGTATATATATTGCTGGGCCAATGCACAATAGGACTACCATACACACATTATATATAGGTACATGTACATTGTATATCTGTATGTGTGTGTGTGTGTTCATATGCATATACATGTATGTACATGTAATGGTGATAAATATTATCAACTTAGGTCATGTTTGACAGCATCATTGGCTTTATTTATTGTTAAGGAAATTAAATCATGCGTACATGTATGTGTGTGTGTGTGTATGTGTGTGTGCAATTCTAATTTGATTACTTCCTCATTAGGAGATGATGTCAAATTTGGAGACCTCTTAGCTGATAAGAACAGCTTTAAGACTTTCCTAACGGATACTCTTGGGCTAAGTGAACCTGTAGCTACGGCCATCATTAACTCGACCATTCACACACAAAATGTAAGCTAATGCCTATTCAGGTCGACTATTATATTGTAATTCGTGGAATGATGGAATGATGATATTTCTATTGATAGATTAATAATGGGGTATTGCCACTACTACTGGGCAGTTTAACTGGTAATGGTTTACCATCAGCACCAGTAAGTGTATACATGTATGTATTTTAAATTATAGTATAAGTAATATTTATTTCAAAAATTACTAATAGTTCAAAAGTTCAATATATTTAGACATCATAATTAATTTCTAATTTCCTTTATTTACACACGTATTAATGATGGAATGTGTTTGTATATTTTTGTACTCGTTAGGGCTCTAGTATATTGACAGGAAGATCCTTAAGACTTCTGATATGTAACTCAACTCTCCTTGATACTGTTGTGACATTCAATGGTCCAGTTGGAAGAGATGAAGTCTTTAACGAAGTCTGTCGGTTGAACGATGCCCAGTTTAACGAACTAGCTACTGAACTGCAGCATCAGCTAATATCGGTTAGTAAAGCATACGATATTAATACTAAAGCCACTTACATAGCAACATTATTATTAGTATCATCATCATGTGTCTTAACTTGATGTCCTCTCTCTCATTCTTCTCTCTCTCTCTCCCCTCTGTCTCTCTCTCTCCCTTCTCTTTTCTTCTAGAGTGATTGTGCTAGCTTGACAAGTACAATAAGCACTATCAATAAAGTGATGGAACTCTTTAACTCATTGCCGATCGGTTTGAACAGCTCGTCAGATCAGATGAGCGTCATACAGGAATACCTTTGTGGGGATGCATCTCAGGGAAACACTACAGCTAACCCACTCCTTATTCTTGGCCATTTACTACAACCAAACCCTGCTACTGGACCAGGTACTTACTTTAATAAATAATGAAATAATTTTATCTACGAGTTTACTTCATAACATATTATTTTGCAAAGCAATTAGTGCTTATTAGTTCTATTTAGTTATTAGTCGTTAACATATTGGCTCTGTTAATGGGCCATTCATTTGTATGAGTCTATGCCTATAACATGTACATGTATTAGGTACATGCACATGGATAATTAGTTGAATGTTAAAATTTAATGCAGCATCAGAATTGCTATAAATATTATTGATATGTATTTAATAATCTAATTGACAGTACATCTACAACTATACATGTATAATGTACTTTCATCATCCTTTCTTCTCTCTCTCTCTTTCCTCCATTAAAGATAAGAATGATGATGTTACTATACCGGACAGAATAGTCCCCAAGATTCTCTACTCTCCCAATACAACTGTCACTCGCTCCATAATGCACAAAGCAAACATCACCTTCTCCACCATTGAATTCATCTTGTCATGGCTGAGACAAATTGACAATTGTTCTCAACTCTTCCTTCAGACAACCAACGCCAGCAGTCCTGTCATAGTAACCATACGTAACTACACCAACGCTATACTACAGTCGAGCAGGAACAATTCAATGATAGAGCAGATACGACTCATCAATCAGTTACTTGATCCTAATAATCCCAGTAACTTGTGGTACTCCCTCCAGCAAGTCAGTGCGACCAGTGAAGATATCCAGGCTCAGTTGCTAAGGTTGGATTGGGATATATTCTATCCTGTAGAGAATCAGGAGAAACTTGTTGAGTTGGCCACTAACATGTGGCGTCAGAAAGAGCTTAACATCACTTCAGTTTTCGCTGGTAAGGTGTTGCTAGTAAACTGCATCTTTACAATTATCAAGTTGCTCAAAAATTGGACCAAAGTCCCTGTACTATATAGTACATGGTGTGGGCCAAATTTTGAGCTGATTGTACATGTGGTATCTTTATTATCAGGCACATATTACACTAGCTAGTTTGTGGCTTTCCTCATGTTGTTATTGTGTTACTGTTGGTAGGTATTGTATTTGATGAGAATATTGAAGAAGTAAAGCCGCTACGAAACGTGACACTAGCAATAAGAATGAACTCAACTTATGTGCACGAAACAGACATACTTAAAGAGCTGTAAGTGTATACATGTACATGAAAATTATAAAACTGTACTTCATTGTTGATAAAACTTTGTTGTTATTAACTCATATGGATTGTTTTGCTTATACATACATGTAAATATTATTTTGCTTGATGTACATGTATGTTTGACAGACATTCCTCATCGTCAGAAAGGAGATTGAACACATGTACTATTGTCTGTTCTTGTCTCATGCACCAAGTTCTTATTGTTGTATGCTTAGACATTCTAAACATGAAATCACAGGCTTACTAGTCACATTCCTCAGTCAATAAACATATAACATACAATAATAACACTTGGGAGGGAAACATGCAGAATGTGAATAATGTTATTAGGTGTAGGCCAGTTCACATAGTGTAATATGGAGTAATGTACATGTGAGCCCATCATGTGATATTCATGAGCTCACAGGAGTCACTGTATATGGTTAATGATTATCGTTACACTTTCATGTGATGTAAGTGTACTATTGTGTCCCTTGAATGAGGTAATAGACTTTTGACAATGTTTACTAAATGAAATTAAACAATAATAACAACGTCTTTTATCTCTCCCTCCTCCTCTTCCTCCCCCCCTCTCTCTCCTCAGTATATGGTATCCTGGCCCTGAGAACTTAGAATGGAAGAGACGTTATCTTGAAGCAGGTTTCATATTCGTTCAAGACATGGTGGAGAGGGCAATCATTGATGAGATAGTAGGACACAGGGTAGCCTCTCCTGGGGCATATGTACACGAGATGCCTTATCCTAGCTACAATGAAGACTTGTAAGTATTATACATAAACATAATGTGTACATGTACATGTACACTCTCTGTATTGGGGATTGGGGGATTATAAGGTAGCTGTTAACATTGCTTTCTTATTGTATTTGTGCTGTACTATGTACATGTATGTACATGTACTTGCATAGCAGCTTTGATGCTAATAATATTGTGCTTTTCTACTAATTCTTTAGTCCCCATCTCTTTTACTATTTTGTCTTCATTCTTTATCCCTTTATTTCTTCTCCTCCAGTTTCCTAGTAGGCATAGAGTGGATGCTCCCTTTCATAATGTCTCTTGGTTGGATGCTCTCAGTTGGTATGATAGTCCGGTCGGTGGTGAAGGAGAAGGAGACTCGTATGAAGGAGGTTATGAGGATGATGGGGCTGGGCAGAGTCCAGCTGTGGCTCTCGTGGTTCACCACGTCATTCCTAACATTGTTACTATCAGTCATCGTTATTAGTCTTGCCTTATCTGTAAGCATGAACAACTACATATATATATCTTATATTTAATTTATTATTGTCATTTCAATAAACAACTACATATTTTACATTTCATGTATCTCTGTTCATTTTCATTTCTTTCTTTTCTTCTCTCCAGTATGGCGGTTTCCTTACCTTTTCCAATGGTTTCATTGTATTTTTCTTCCTTCTCTTATATTCAATCCTCATCATTTGCTACTGGTGAGTATATTATTATTACATTTTCATCATACATGTACAGTACATGCACACATACATGTACATGTATGTTTAAAATTAGTACACTTTTATTATTTTAATTTTTTATATTTTTGTGCAGTTTCTTGTGCAGTACATTCTTCACTAATGCTAACATGGGTGCCTGTGTTGCTGCTCTTGTCTATTTCCTCCTCTTCTTCTTACAACTCGTCGTTCTCATTAAATTCGGCGACACTCACCCAGCAGCCATTGCTCTGATGGTAAGCATGAAATGAAAATATATTCCACAAGATTATAACATTTCTCCTCTCCCTCTCTCTCCCCTCCCCTCCCCTCAGTGTTTGCTAGCTCCTGTCGGCTTCGGTCTTGGCAGTAGTTTCATAGTACAGTATGAATTACTACAAACAGGACAGCATTTCGATAATCTCTTCATATCACCAGTAAGCCAATCCAATAGCACCCAAACTTTATACAATTTACAAATACATGCATGTACACGTACACGTACACATGCATCTTCTTCTGCAAAGTTTATGTTCTTCAACATTCCAGTATTGAGGGTATAGCGTCTTGGGGAAATACATCGCATTTTTGTATTATTGGTTATAATTTTCTCTCTTCTTTCCTCCCCCCATAGACTGCTGATTATCATTTTTCTGTTGGACTAGTCCTCATTATGTTTGTCGTTGATATTATTTTGTATTCTGTTCTCACTTGGTACATTGAGGCCGTTTTCCCCGGGAAATATGGCGTCTCAAAACCTTGGTACTTCCCGTTTATTCCTCTCATCCGCTACATAGAGAAGAGAAGGAACCAAAACAAGGAGAAACTCAATGGCTCAGATGAGGAGAGAGAGAGTGAGTCATAAATTTATTATTATTGTTTGGCATTTTTGATTGTCGAATATGAAGAAAAATGAGCTAAAATTGCAAGCGACTTTATATTATTTTTATAATTTGTATTGCAGTGTTGGTTTTTGAAGAAGAAGGCGATGATTGTGATGCAAGTCTTGGGTCTAGTGTTGGTAACAGTGGCGGTGCTGTTTATGAAGAAGAACCAACTCATTTAAAGAAAGGAGTGGAGATGAAGGGACTCAGCAAGGTAATGGAGAACTAATAATCTATTGAGTGTACATTAGTAGTACATGCATGGTCATACATGTACATGTACATGTACATGTATGGGGAATTGGATTACAGTGAAAGGAAATAGCTGGTACTCCTACTGTACAGTTATGATTGCAATTAGTTATATTTATATACATGTACATGTACATGTATGTGTGTATATATGTGTTATATAGCGTACTGGTTATAGGCCAGCTGCTGTTAATGGTTAGTCATTCAATGATATTAGGGTAAGTACAGCTTTACTAATGAATTGAATTACTGATCTTGTTACTGTTGCCATCGGGAAAGTTTAGATTATATTCATCATATTTTGTGTGGTCTTATTTAATAATAGTTACTTGAGTTATGGTCCTTGAAACTCTAGTGATGTGTATTCTCTCTCTTTCTCTCTCTCTTTATCTCAGACATATCACCTTGGTTGTAGAGGAAAGGTCAAAGCTCTAAGAGATCTGACCTTGAACCTTTATGAAGGACAGATACTTGCTTTTCTGGGCCACAATGGAGCAGGAAAAACAACTACAATGTACACATAAACACAACATGCATCACTTATAAATAACCATATGATTCTACCATATTATGACACTTATACATAAATATTATATTTAAATGTTTATTATAGGTCACTATTAACTGGGCTATATGAGCCTACTGCTGGTACCAGTATCATCAACGGGTTGGACATATGCAAGAATATGGATGAGATTAGGAGCCAGCTAGGAATATGCCCACAGCATAATATCCTCTTTGATGAGTGAGTGTACAGTACATTTAATGTGATTATTGAGTCTGGTGTGTGTGTGTGTGTATTGTCTATAGTTTGACTGTGGAGGAGCACCTGTTCTTCTTTGGTCAATTGAAAGGACTTTCCAAGAAGCAAGTGAAGAGCCAGACGCCTGAGTAAGAGTTGATATATTGATGTGTTAAGTCTATTAGTATTAGCCTTTGGCCTCCATCCTGTACAGTATGAGGCTTCAGTTTATAGTACATTGTATTTATTTAACCTACTTTCCCACACCCTCCATCATTTTGTTTTTTGTTTTTCTCTCTCTTTCTCCAGCTGGTTATCAAAAGTTGGCATGTCGTCTCATCGCACAGTTCGTACTAAACACCTCTCTGGTGGAATGAAGCGGAAACTCTCAATCCTTTTAGCATTTATTGGGAACTCTAATACTGTCATACTGGACGAGCCAACATCAGGTGTTGATCCTTACGCTCGGAAGCAAATATGGGACTTTCTGAGTCAGCAGAAACCCGGTCGTACGATCATGCTCTCCACCCATCACATGGATGAAGCCGAGGTTTTAGGTGATAGACTGGCAATCATATCCAAGGGGAAGCTGCTCTGCTGTGGATCCTTTGATTTTCTAAAGGGAAAGTTTGGAAGTGGCCATCATTTAGCTGTTGTCGTGGAAAACGAGGATTGTATATCGTTAGATCCTTCCAGTGGACAGGGTAAGGATTAGTGTGTCTTGATTCACTCTCTCTCTCTCTCTCTCTCTCTCTCTCTCTCTTTCTCTCTCTCTCTCTTTATTCTATTTTATAATATCTTTACATTCTTTTATTGTTAGATATTGAAGTTGAGCCTAACACAATAGAAAAGAGAATCACTTCATTTCTAAAAGTATGTACATGTACACATCTCCCATTTAATGCATAATAGAGCTACATTGTATCTTGCATTAACTGTCATTCTCTCTCTCCCTTTGTTAGGAGCACATACCAGATGTTGAGTTGATTGGAAAGAGAGGACAAGAGCTTCATTATCTCTTGCCTCTTCAGCAGTCTAGACCAGCTGTCTTGCAGGGACTGTTTGCTGCTCTTGACGAAGCAGGTGCTTCTACTCTTGGCATACAGCAATATGGACTCACTTCCTGTGCAATGGAAGAAGTGAGTTTATACTAAAAGAATCCAATTGTGTTGTACTATTTTTAATGATTTTTTTACCTGTATAGATTTTTGTTGAGTTAACTAGTAAGGAATTTGAAGAAACTGAAGTCAAAGGTAATGAATTAAATATCATATCTACAGCTATTATAGTGATCTCTTGGCAATTTTGTTTACATGTGCATGTATATACAGTTACATACAGTACTTGTAGCTTTAATGTATATTGTCTTTACTTGCAGATCCAGTTGAGGGTAATGCTCCTCATCGGAGTCTAATATCAAGGAGATCATCAGCTTCTCTACCGATTGTACTTGATGAAGAAGAAGAGGAGGAGAGAGAGGGAGAGAATGGGACAGAAGGAAAAGCTGATGAAAGCAAACAACCAAAGAAGAGTAAGAGTTTGATAGACAGAGAATGCAGTATCCACTGTGTGGTGTTATTATTGATGACATGAGATATACATGTTCTCGTGAGTTTGAGTTGATTCCAATCAAAATTAGAATTTTAAAAGCTGCTTCAAAATTAGGCCAAAGTCCTTATACTATAGTACAGTGGCTTTGGTCAAGTTTCTTCAAAAATGAAAAGGAGAGAATGTTTATCTGATACTTTATGATCATTTATTTATTTATTTATTTATTAGGTGAAAGGGTGAAAGGATTAAATCTATTATTCTATCAGTACTTTGCCCTACTAGTGAAGAGACTCCAGTATTCGTTCAGGAAGAGGAAGGCTTTTTTTGTACAGAACATTCTGCCGATATTTGTAATCATATTCACGCTGCTAATAGCCTACTTCTTGCTCAGCGTCACCGATCCTCCTCCACTCTCCCTCCAGCCTTCAACTTTCTTCGGTATCGGACCTAACAATTACGTCATTGTTGGTAATAACAAATCTGGGGCTTCGAAAGATTACGTGGACACTCTTTTTGAGCCTTGTGGACTAGGAGCAACGCTACTAGCTGATCCCAACGACCCTGCCTCTCCTTGCTATAAAAAACAAAAAGTGGAACAGTGTAATAATTATGATAAATTAAACATTCACTATGATACTGTGACTTGTGTTTCTAAATGTCCTACCTGTGGGATTGATCGGGTGCCACTGAATGATACGCCGCCATCTTGTTATAACGGAACTGTGGTAAGTTCTCTTCTTTTCTCCTATCTGCCCTCCATAATACATGTACATGTACATGTACTTTCATAATATCTACATGTACGTATACTTTATGTTCTTGTGTGTTGTAGACTGGGAGTCGCCTACAGAATTTAACTGAAATGGATTATGAGTCATTGACTACATATCTATTGAATACTAAACTGGAATTCATTGAAGTAAGCAGCTTAATATACATGTACTGTATCTACATGTATCTACTATAAAACTGCTGTGTATTCACTGTGCTAAAAGCTATACTATGATAGTAATTATCATTGTCAGTTGACTAACAGTGAAATGTTCTACTGATATTATATTTACATTGTTTCTCACTGGACATGAAAGAACAATCTTTCATTTTCATTGTATCATAATAATAAGTGCATTCATACAAGATGTTTTTTAAAACCTCATGTACCAGAACATTTTAATGTACCTATAGCTTCAAAGACTTAAGCTGGGGATAGCTTGCATGTGTTCAATATAAAGAGCATATATCATTTTTATTTTTATTTTTGTAGAAGAGGTATGGTGGTGTCTCATTTGGTCATCGTCGCGATGATGTCTCTCCCAGCCTTGACAGTCTTTACAATTCAGACACCAACTATTCCCTGCCTTTCTTTGCCGTACAAGAAGGAGCTAAAGCCTGGCACAGTTTCAAAGGGTACCACGCTATGCCTACCTACCTCAACTCACTCAATAACGCTATACTGAGGGGACAACTACCACCTAATGAAGCTAACTCTTCTTCCTTGTATGGTATGTTACTATAATTAGAACAGAGTTGGGTCTTCATGTATTGTGTGTATAGTTACTAAAAATAAATTATGGAATTATTTTTAGGCATAAAAACGATCTCTCATCCATTTCCAACAACATTTCTACAGAAATTGCAGAAAGCTTTGTAAGTCAAGTTATTGAATTTATTATTATTATTATTATTATTATTATTATTATTTTAATTCTTAGGGAAGGAGCTAGTTTCTTAGTCACTCCACTGGCAGCCATGTTTTCTCTTGGTTTTGTAGCCGGAGGTTTTGTCCTCTACTTAATAGAGGAGCGATCATCAAACTTGTATCATTTGCAGTGTGTCTGTGGCTTGAACAGAGGAGTCTATTGGCTGGCTGCTTTCACTTGGGACATCATCGGATACATATTGTTTTCAGTTGTTGTTATATTGTGTTACGTGATATCAAGAGATACTAACCTCTCCCAACCAGGTACAGCATTAATTAATACCATGAACATGTAAAGGCTATTATACCTTCATATACATGTACATACATAAAAGCTATTTTGCATTTAATCTTTTGTTATTCACATGCTATACATGTACAGTATAGTTTCTGATACTTTTACCATTATTCATTCTCTCTCTTTATACAGAGGCCATTGGTCCAGTGTTCCTATTATTTTTATGCTACGGATTAGCCATTACCCCATGGATGTACGTTTATTCCTTCATGTTCCAGTCTCCTACCACAGCTTACGTCATGCTCTTTTGTCTTAACTTCTTTTCTGGTCTTGTCCTCCTAGTAGTTGATGCTATTGTCGTATTGGAAGCACTGGACTATGATGCTGTACGTTACTTATGCTGCATATGTAGCTATGTTATGTACATGTATATCAATGAATAACTTATCTATTCTCATCTCTCTCTCTCTCTCTCTCTCTCTCTCTCTCTCTCTCTCCCTCCCTCCCTCTCTCTCTCTCTTTTAGGGTAATTTCAATTATTATTTGGCTGCTGTTCCAATGCCCAGCTATGCCTTAGCCCGCGGTATCATGTACTTCACACTAGACAAGCCAGCTCTTAACATATACTTCTCTCTGAGTAATATTGAACTACCTTCAGATTTGTCTCAGACCTATCAGTTCATGCTAGCATTACTGTGTCATGCTGCGTTGGGAGTTTTGGTACTGATAGCCATTGAAGTTTTTAAGTATATGAGACTCAGGTAAGCGCTATTGTTTTATAATAATTATTTATGATTATTTTGAATATTATTAAAAGAAATTTTTAATTGCATGCCAATGTACTGATAATTGTGATTTTAATATTTATTATTTTTTTTTATTTTTAGGGTAAAATACAAGTGGAATATACTGGGTAATACTAGTAGCATCATAGCAGCAGCTGCTTACACTGATGATGACAATGACGTGATAGCTGAGAGGAACCGAGTTCAAAATGGAGAAGCAAACGAGTCTCCATTACTCCTCAACGGGCTCAGTAAAGTCTATAACAGTTTTGATTTCCGTTGCAATAAACTGAAGAAGTTTCGTGATACTCGTGTTGCTGTTAACGATTTGAGTCTGGGGCTACAGAAATCAGAGGTAGTTTTAGAAAGTTGCTTTTAATTATAGTAGAATACAGCATTAATTTCAATAATGGTAGTAGAAATTTAGAAAAAGACATGGGCTATAGCCTTGGGTATTTTTCAGAATTTTGGTGTTTTCTTAAAATGGCCGTAACTTGAAAAAATAAAGTCGGAATCAACTCAAACTTTCTGCATAGCATAAGTACATCAATATGTATCAGAAAATGTAATAAAAATTGGGGGTGATTTTGGAGCCCTTTTTTGGAAAAAACTATGGGCTATAGCCTTGGGTATTTTTCAGAATTTTGGCGTTTTCTTAAAATGGCCGTAACTTGAAAAAATAAAGTCGGAATTAGCTCAAACTTTCTGCATAGCATAAGTACATCAATATGTATCAGAAAATGTAATAAAAATTGGGGGTGATTTCGGAGCCCTTTTTTGGAAAAAACCATGGGCTATAGCCTTGGGTATTTTTCAGAATTTTGGCGTTTTCTTAAAATGGCCGTAACTTGAAAAAATAAAGTCGGAATCAACTCAAACTTTCTGCATAGCATAAGTACATCAATATGTATCAGAAAATGTAATAAAAATTGGGGGTGATTTTGGAGCCCTTTTTTGGAAAAAACCATGGGCTATAGCCTTGGGTATTTTTCAGAATTTTGGCGTTTTCTTAAAATGGCCGTAACTTGAAAAAATAAAGTCGGAATTAGCTCAAACTTTCTGCATAGCATAAGTACATCAATATGTATCAGAAAATGTAATAAAAATTGGGGGTGATTTCGGAGCCCTTTTTTGGAAAAAACCATGGGCTATAGCCTTGGGTATTTTTCAGAATTTTGGCGTTTTCTTAAAATGGCCGTAACTTGAAAAAATAAAGTCGGAATCAGCTCAAACTTTTTACACAGCATAAGTACATCAATATGTATCAGAAAATATAATAAAAATTGGGGGTGATTTTGGAGCCATTTTTTGGAAAAAACCATGGGCTATAACCTTGGGTAATTTTGGCATTTTCTTAACATGGCCGTAACTTGAAAAATTGAAGTTGGAATCAACTCAAACTTTCTACATACATGTAGTATAATAATTTTTTATTGTACGATATTAGTATATTACTGTATTATTAATCATTATTCTTGTTTCATATTTTAGTGTTTTGGTTTATTGGGATTAAACGGAGCTGGCAAGACAACAACCTTTAAGATGATAACAGGAGATACCACACTTAGCAGTGGGAATGCAGTTGTAGGTGGCCACAGGTAAGAAATAATAAAGATGAAACAAATAGTCATTACTGTGTTTTTCTAGCGTTACTAGTGAAATGAGCTCTGCCAGACAGAGTATTGGTTACTGCCCTCAGTTTGAGGCTCTCAGTGACGGACTGACAGGCAGACAACATCTTGTCCTGTTCAGTAAATTAAGGGGTATCCCCTCCCACCAGCTAAAGGACGTGGTAAACGATGCATTGAATATGTTGGAGCTAATGCCCCACGCTGATAAACCAGTCAGTGCTTATTCCGGTGGCAACTGCAGACGATTATCAACTGCCATTGCTCTACTAGCTAACCCACCTGTTATACTACTGGTATGTGAGCCTTTTAAATTATTAACTTTAGCTAAAATTTACATTTCTATATTTCCTCTTTCTTCCTTTATTCCTTAACCCTTTTTTTTCTTTCTTTATATTCTCAAATATTTATTGCATTTAAAATAATTTAATATCTTATACTTTAAAATTGATATTTATTCCATTGAAAACAAGGCTATATTTATATTTATTGTATTATCCTTTATCATGATAGGATGAGCCCACGTCAGGTGTTGACCCTCGTGCGAGACAGTTCCTCTGGGGTATTATAAAGAAATCAGTCAAGAAAGGACACTCCATACTCCTCACCACTCACAGTATGGCAGAGTGTGAGGCCCTCTGTACCAGGGTTGGTATAATGGTTAATGGAAAGCTTCGCTGTCTTGGGACTCCGCAGCAGCTGAAGTCCAAATATGGTCAAGGATACAAGTTGAATATTAGGTTCGGTCCTGCGGATAGGGAAGGACTTATGAGGAGGATTGTTGAGATGTTCCCAGAGGCAGTCATCGGGGTAAGAAGAATCAACTCATTCCCATCACTGTCCATGCATGTATTGAGTGCCATGCCTTTCCCACATTATCACAATTTAATTCATTTTTGTGTTCTCTCTCATTTGCAGGAGGAGCATTATAATAACATAGTCTATCAGTTACCAGCTGGCCTCAGTTTGGCTGTTGTGTTCAATAAGATGGAGGAGCTTAGATCAACCCTTGATTTTGATGATTATTCGCTGAGTCAAACTACACTGGACGATGTACGTGTTATATGTACAAACACACAGTATAATGGTATAATAGATATGATATGGAATATATATATTTTTTGCTACTAAATAAAGTACAGAAATAAAAGAGATACTTTTTTAGGTTTTTATACATTTTGTGAGTAAGCAGAGAAGCGAGGAGGAGCAGTCTGATGGCATTGCAGCTGCAGTGTCCCTCCAAGAGTTTAATGGAACTGATCATGAAATGGAGTCAGTTCATGTCATCACAACCAAAGGAGCAGAATCCAGCCGACCACACTACACTCTATTGAAGAATCCTCCAGATGAAACTGTTTTATAATTTATTATTATTATGAACTTCATTTGCACGAGCAAGTGTTATGTATATAAAAAATTTATAATAATTATGATAAAAATTGCTGGCCTATTATTTCTGTATTTGTATAAAAGTAGTTACACATACATTTATATTATGTTTTTCCTTTTTTATTTATGTCATGTATGATAAAATTAGAGATATTATTAATTATTTTTAAAAAGTGATTGTTGTGATTTTGTCAACTTTATTTAATGAATCTCATTACAGAATATGGTCTCCGTATACTCCCGCTCACGTACCGTTCATGCTGTGAATAAAATGGCGGAGTTGAATGAGTAGGGTGTCTCCAACCATATTCTTCCTTTTAAAAGAAAAGAGGTGACTATAGACCAATACCAACTCTTATTAAGGCTAGAGGAATAGTTTGTATTGCGTCTACGCGATATACTGTACGTTTATAAGCTTCTGTAAGGGGGAGAAGGACAGGGCAAGCTTGATTGGTTATGAGAAAAGGGAGTTAGTCTCCCCCCATGCTTATAATTGAGACGTCAGCTGCTGGGGAAGACACCACCAGCTGCACTGCTAGTAGCATGAGTACTGTAGACTCTTCATCGAGGTAAGAGGGTTGGTTGTTGGCATATTTTTATGATTTAGTAGGTCACAACATTGGGATGGTAGCTCAAAGAAGGAGAAGGTAAGAAAAGAAGTCTTTCTTTTATAGTCTCACTTATCTCCCCCTTTCTACCTTTCTTTATACTCTCTGGGCCCTTTTTCTTTCTTTTTGTGTGAACCATATCTCATTTCATCTCTCCACTCCCTCTCTCTTTCTCTCTCCCCCTCTCTCTCTCTCTCTCTTTCTCTCTCCCTCTCTTTTAGAGTGACATAACTAGTCACAATACTCCGCATAGTAAAGGAGGTGGTTCCCACGGCACTAATTCCTCTACTGATCCTACTGTCCAGGCCAGTAGAGGGGAGAGAACCACGTCTAATGCACGGGTACACCCAAAGGCGGAGCTTAAAAATAACGAGAAACAAAGTAATACTTATAATTAGGAAATTTTGTTTCATGTTTCTACTATTTTTCCCAGTGTCTAATTCTAACCATGCCTCCTCAAAGTCACATGACAGGAAGAGAAAGGCCAGTAATGAGGTGAAAATGCTTCCTTATAGTTTTATTATATATTTTTTTAATAATAAAAAAATTGTGGGTACAGTCCAAATATTTTTTCATACTTAAAATAGAATAAAGTATAAAATAGTTTATAATTTTTTGCTTCAAAAATCTTCAGCGTTCCAAACAGCCTTTGCTAAAGTTACACATATGTGGGAGGCCAGTCTAATTTGAAATAACTTAAGGAGACCTAGGCTAAATACCCCGCCTGACTAGGCTAAATATGAGAGACCAAAAGTCTCGTAAACTCCCTCTAGATCTAACAGTGACAGTCAATCTTGATATACTAACAGTGACAGTCATTCTTGATATACTGGTGTAGTCTGGTTAATGGTGCCTCTCTTCCTTAGGATGATGAGAGTGAAGACACTTGGACTGAGCACAAGAGCTCCTCCGGTCGTATTTATTTTTATAACAAGCGACTGGACAAATCCCAATGGGAGAAACCTTCCAAAGGAACAGTGAAAAAGTAAATAAATAATCACAATAATTTTAGTGTTAAAATATTACTAAGACAGTTTTATCATCTTGCGTGATACATAGCAGGGGTTTACACACCATATGTAATGATTGTATGTTTTTGCCCGCCGTTAGGCTAAAGACTCAAGATACTAAAGTCCCTGCATCATCGAGCAGTCGCTCTACATCCTCTACTCAACACGGATCAGGGACTCATGCCTCCTCCTCTTCTTCTAAATCTCATTCTCACTCGGCCCACAAAGGAGGAGGGACACACCATTCTTCTTCTTCTCATCATCATCATCATCGTGATAGTCGGGACGTTAGCGGCCCCGGGGGGCAGTCTAATGTTCATCATCATCATCATCAGTCTGAGTATAATACCACACCTAGGAGGAAAACTGATAAGAGACCGTAAGTTAGACGAATATGCTTTTAGTTGGGATAGATTAATAGCCAACTTTAAAATTTTTTTAAAAATCTAAAATTGATTGGAATCAACTCAAAATTGATATACAACATAAGAACATGTATATGTATATGTATCAGATAATACATAAATCTAGTCATTAGTTTACTATTTCTGTATTTTACCAGCAGCCTGTCAAGCAGTCACGCCAGTAAAGCTAATAAAAGTTTAACAGGTATATTATTATCATCATCAATCATCATCATTATTATTATTATTATTAGAAGGAGGTGTGGCTGGTATTTCATCCCCACCCACTACCAAACCCCCCAGCAATACGCTCTCTCCCTTACCTCAAACCCCAACCTCCTCTCGGTCGTTAGTGGGCGGAGTTCCCGTCACCCCCGACAACAATATGATGATCCCTCCTCATATTTTAGCCTCCTATATGGGCGTGGTCGATCCAATAGGTCCAAAGACTCCGATACAGACGTATCCCAGTGGGTGGGTAGGAACTGGGACTGGTACTCCAGAGGTCCACCCTCTACAAAGAGCAATACTAATACAAAACCAGTATACCACTCAGGTTTGTAATCGGTGTGCAAATGCATCCCATTTTCCTTTTATTTTACACTATTGTTTTCACTTGCTTTGTGGCTTTTACAGGAATGCCTTGTGGGAATATTGGCTGGAGCTATGTATAATATTTGTCTATTTTTGATTAACAGCTAGTTTTATATATTGAAGATTTACCAACCACATGTCATTGAGCATCCTCAGAATCAAGCAAAATGGCAGATTTTATACAATTATTGTTACTGAAAGAGACAGTATGTTTGACCCCAGCCTGATTAGAGACTGATATTATAGTCTGTTGTGGTCACTAGAATTATTGTAGACATTTTACAGGTCATTAAACTGTATAGTATAGATCATAAAGTCTACTTCCATAGCTTAATGAACCCTGACCTCTTTCAGTATACACACATATATTTACTATACTGACCTATCATTTACTAATAATTTACATCAGCATATTGAATATTACAGTCTAGTGTATGCATCTTTGCACTAGCTCTTGTAGTAGAACTTTACTAGTATATTTACTATATGGAGTTCACTACATGTGCATGTTGTGCAATATACTTCTTTTGACTTTGTGTCCTTTGGCGGCTTATAATGTCAAGTTTGTGTCTTCATTTTGCAAATTATATTGCCTCAACACTATAGTGAATGCGTACATGTACATGTAGTTTTAGTTGAGTATATTCACGTTGTCTTATTTTATTTTTAATGATTTTTTCTTCATTATTTTAGGGCTATCAAGTATCTCCACATCAGCAAGTAATCTCTTCAGTACCAACCACCCCGGTACAGCAGCACCAGTCCTTCCCTCCCCCTCCTCCACCTCCCCCTCCTCCTTCCTCCTCTGTTCACATACCCAACGCTCCTTCAATGAATCCTCAGAATGTCCTAATGGGATACCAGTCTACTCCTGGAGGAGGCGGAGTCTATCATTACGAGACTCGGCAGCAGGTTCCCATCTCTTCCCAGAAGCTTAAGGTCCCCATGTCTCGTTTGGGGGCGTGGCCAAGACCAGAGACAGATTTTCCTGACCCTGCCTCTTTAAAGCCACTGCCGCAGCTACCTAGTAATGATTTTTACAGTTTTGGTTTAGTACAGAGCTGGTCTTCATCGATAGAACCTATTAACAAACAAGTAAAGAATTTATTATATCTTTACGTAGTAATCGTACAAATTAGGACATGTGTACATGTAGATATTTAAATAAACATGAAACTGGAAATTAGTTTTTAATTTAACATAGTTTTGTTTATTTTGAATTGCTATTGAATTGATAATTCATTATCATTATTACAAATCACAATACTTAACATAATATAATAATTATTTATTATTATTGTTATTGTTATTATTTTAAAGATACACCAGTGTATTTTATATGTATTTATTTATTTATAGATGGATTCCTCTCAGACTGAGTCACTATCACGTACAACAGTTGATGTGGCATATCACTGTGGCCAGCTAGCAAAGAACCTACTGGCTCTTGAATGCTGTAGAATGAAAGCAGTGTCTAGGAGAACCAGGTCAGAAACAGTAATTCAATTATTGTATTGTAGTTATGCTGAAAATGAAAATCCAGTGTATACTGAATCAATAATAATAATAATAATAATAATAATAATAATCAATAACAATAACAACAGTAACAATAGAAAATTGATGACAAGACAGCTAGATTCTTTTCCCTCTGTCTCCTTCAAAGACAGTTAAAATTCTTTTCTTTGTTCTGACCTTATGTTGTCACCATGATCCCCTTTTTTCCTCTTATATTCTGTTGTCTAAAATTCCCTTAATAACTCATTCAATTCATTACTTACTATAATTCATTACTTTGTATCATTATGGTGCCTTGTTTGTTCATGTCCTTCTGTGTGCATTATGTGAATTACCTTTTGGCTATTGTTTAGGTTGAATGACCTCATGAAGACCATTGATGACATTGAGAAAAGATGATTGATTGATTAATCTGTCTTACTCTTTCCTTTTCTCTCTCTCTCTCTCTCTTTCTTTTTTTCTGCTGTTAATCTCATCACTATTGATAGTCTTATTATTATTATTAAGCGCTTTATGTATAACTTAACACTCTCAGCTGTGTGTACAGATAATGATCGTTTTAAATGTTTGATTTTTTGAGATGACACGCACACATGCACACAATATTATGAATGACATGATGAATTTTTTTAAAATGATAAGTTAAACTACAAAGAAGGTGACTTATGATAGTACCAAGAGTACATGATACAATAATTTCTGTAGTACTATTATGATCCAGTAGGATAGTGTGGTGAGCATGATTAAGCATGTTTTCTATATCATAGTAACCTGACTAGGCATTTTCAAACATGCTTAGCTCAGCTCCCTTGAGGTAGTTGATAGTTTATAATACAGCAATTATAATAATCCACAATCTATAAACTTGACTAACCATTAGATACTATAGTATCCTAATCATTATTAGTCACTGTTAACCAGCTAATGCATTAGTAGTAAGTAGTGAAGAGAAGTTATGCTAGCAGTAATGCAATTAGAACATTTTACTATTAAAAAAATACTTTGCAATTACTAAATTACAAATTATCTACTCTTGCTAATTAGTATCTTAAATTTCATATTTTACAATTCAATTTTTGTCACCTTGTTCGCACCTTTGAAGTGTTAACAAAGTGTGAAAAAAATTTACAACCTTCATCTGATTCTAATTTTGAAGAAGTTAACCTTACCTTAAGAGCAGTCAAGGCAGTAGTGGTTTTAGGGTGAAATCCCTTCATTTGGAATAACATCTGTTGTTTAGTAACATAAGGTGAAAGCTGCCAATTAGACTCTCGTTTTTATAAGCAGTGGCTCTAATTGATTTCTATTCCAATACAAACAATGTCACAATGAGAGAGCTAGTATGACAATCATATCTTAATCTTACAACAACACAACTAGTTCTACCCAACTTCACTAATGAACAATGGCAACTTGTACTGTTAATAATGAAACACTTATAAAATGCAAAAAAGATAAATTATAAAATCTACACAACAACAACAACATAATAATAATAATAACAACAACAGAATAAGAATAATACGATAATTAAGAAATTGCTGAACTGCTAAACAGTTATTAATACAATAAGAGGACTAGCTCTCTCTCTCTACACTCATTTAAAACTAAGTAAGCAATTGAAAACACATTAATGTTCCTTTAATCTCTATATCTAAGACATGGCTCCAAACACTGGATTGTGTCGACAGATGCTCGGCCCATGTTCATCATAATCCCTCTTTGTGTGACATACTTCATAAAACTCAGGCTAGATTAGAAAGGAAGAGAAAAGCAAGAAGGTAAAGGAAGCTAGAATACACAAGATTATTTGGCTTACGGTTGATGCTAACATGGAGCCACCAAACCAAACAGCATATCGCTGCATGTGATGAGTAATGACATTAACATCAATGGGCTTGGGCTAAAGTATAAAGAGAGAGAGAGGGGGGGAGAGAAATATATTAAGACAGTAATTTAATTATGAAAGTGCAGTAGCTGCCCTACATGCATGAATGAAGAGAAGTATATGTACACATACATCAGATCATAAGTAATGATACATCTTGTCTATCCCGGAATCTGATACACTATACAGCAAGAGTGTGTGTGTGTGTGTGTGTGTGTGTGTAACAGGTGTGTGTGTTTATGTGTTAGAGTGTACTAGTGGCAGGAGTTGCAGCTGTCATTTTGTACCTTTATCCTCCCGCCACTGAGTTCCTCGCTAATCTTGAGCCTAGCTTCAACAGTACGCTTCAAATCACGCTGGAGACGACGACCAAAGTCCTTGAACATAGTTGATCCACCAGACAAAACTACATTCTACAAGAAATAAAAAATTAAAATGGCCTCCTACTAAAATACTTAAATAATAAGAAACTATAGCTTGCTATTGTATGTTAACCTTGTATAATGGCCTTCTAACGTCGATTGGACAGTTTTGTATCACTGTGTCAACGACTTCAGAGATAGGTACTGTAAAGTCAGGATTAGAGAACTCGGGATGGAAGAATATCTCGGGACCGAGAAACCTTTCGTAACCAACATCAACTTTGAATGGCTGCAGGAAGAGAAAGAGGAAGGAAGATAAAGATTGCAGTACAATGAAATTGAATGACATGTTAGGATTGAATGAAGTAAAAGAGGAAGAGAACCAAACAAGAAAAAGGAATAAAAATGTACAACAAAATATTCGATGCCATTCAAGCACTATGCATATCCATTCACTCACTTTCTTTGTGATGCTATTCATTCCTTCGTGCTCCTTAAAAAACTTATCAGGCTGGGCATCATACTTGTTAAATTCCTTGGCAATGTCTGGACATATGTAGCCATACTTTTCCTTAATGGTCTTTGCTATTTCCATGGATTGTTCCGGAGGGATTCCAGTCTCCCTCTCTCTCAGCAGCTGCTGCACAAAGTACGTTATATCCCGACCAGCGATCGGAATGTGCTTAATGCAACTACCAATAACATAACCTTCAGCCTGGGGAGAAAATAGCACAGGGTCATATTAACACCCATTGTATCAATAAGGAAATATATTAACACAAACACACAAATACTTATTATATTTAAGCACTTATTTAAGTACTTATTCTTCCTCTCCTCCTCTCTCTCTCTCTCTCTCTCTCTCTCTCTCTCTCTCTCTCTCTCTCTCTCTCCTTCATCAACATACCACTGGTATAACGTGAGTGACACCATCACCAGAGTCAATGACAGTCCCTGTAAGCGTACGCTCCCCAACCTGACGACTGGTCCAAGAAGCAGCAAGAGCAAGAACAGCCTATTCACACAATAAACAGATAAAATACATCAACATACAACACATGTACATATAAGACACGTGTACATGTACTGCCAATTATAGTTAATTAAATTTATAATTGAGGTGTGGCAACTTTAAATCAAAAAGCAAGTTTTAAATTTCATCTCATTAAAGTCCAAAAGCTCCACCACTATGTACAATGACAATCATCACATGACCTCCTCCTGATAGTCACGTGATCAGACGTACCTGTACAGCAATGTACAGCCCAGGGATATTGAATGACTCAAACATAATCTCGGCTGTGTATTCTCTGTTCTCTGGAGTGTTAAGAGGAGGCTCCGTCAGAAGGAAGAAGTGGTCTTCTGGCTCGGCACGAAGATACTTGAAAATACACTGCTCCCAGAATCTCTCCATGAGATCCCAGTCCTCAACTATCCCGTGACGAATGGGATACATTGTAGCATAGCCTGGCTTATCTGCTTCATCTCCAATGTAGAAATCTGTTTATTGAAAGAGGAAGGAACGGAGAGTAAAGGGGGAAGATTACATAATGTGAAAGGGAAAGTTATAAGAAAGGATGGACAGGGGGAGAGGGAAAGAAAGAGGTGAGAATGGTGAGAGGTATTTTCAACATACCGAGATCATCGACTCCTTTTCCTAATCTTTTTGAAGCTTTGTCTCCAACATGAGCTGATTCTTTAATTGCTATTGCTGTTAGGAGAGAGAGAGACAGAGAGACAGAGAGACAGAGACAGAGAGAGAGGTGGGAGTAAGTGACAACAAGTAAAGTTGACACATAGCAAATGTAAACATTTCATAATAAAGACTCCATTTTCATTTCCTATTGCATACGTAGACTTAAATACTACAGAGTCCACACCCACACACCTCAATTAAAAACCACACCCACTTAATAATAAAATGCCACACCCCTATACTAACCCCTTACATAAGTACGTCTCGTTTGCATCCCCCTGCATGCCTTATACGATCTTATTATTCATAATCCCTTCTCATATGGACTTACATGAAGGTATGATAAACTGTGGCTCTGTGTTACCAGCAAAACCTAACTTAGTATACCTATCAAAGAGGAAAGAATTCAAACTTTGGTTGCATGTACATCGATTGTGACTCACCCTGTGCCATTATCAATAACAGCAGCGGGCATACGATAGCCAGAAGTCATTCTTAAAGCTCTCTACTCTCCTTTACCCAAAAATGGCTGGATATCTTTTTAGTGGCTACTGCGCATGCGCAGATTAGTGGCGCCACGCCCATTAAAATGGTTTGCCAAAGTTTTAACTTTTTCAAAGATTTTCTGCTTAGAATTGTTGCAAAGTAAATCTGAAGTTTTACACTGATATTATATTAATACAAAATACGAGTCACTATAGTGGATTTCTTATTTTATTCTTTCTAAAAAAGGATTTTAAAAACAGGCATTAGCCACGCCTCTAACACATGGTTAATCGCCCACGCAAATCATGGAATAGCTTATTAATTCCAATTAATTAATTACTCCTTTATAACTACAAGGGAGACTGATGATAAGGGAGCTGAACAGTTCTGTATAAAAATACTACTCATCACTACGGATCACTTTTGTCTGCCATTGCTTGTACAACGGATGCAGTGATTCTGAGATCACACACATACATAGAGAGATACGGTCGTAGTCTAGTATATATTCCCCGCGCCTTTTTATCCTACAACTAGAAGACTTCTCCATTGCAAAGGCTCTCAATTACATCTCAGGTGTCATAATAAAGGATTGGTGTCAAATAGATCTTTTCTCTCTGCACAAAGAGACTGTTTATTACAATACAAAGAGGTGAGTTTGAAAAATAATACGACTTTGCTATAGCTTGGGAAGCATAGAAATGCGATCCCTTGTAAAGGTACGCCCTGAGCTGCTCCTTTGTTCAATTATCCTCCTGGCCGGCCCGCTGTTGAACACATGATACTGCCATGCTATATTCTCTATAGTCACAGGCCAATTCCCTTGTGAGCTTGTATAGTTTATTCATAGTGAGTACCAGCAGCCTTTTGCCAGCCAAAACGTGGCTTTTGAATTTTGTAAAAGTAGCTTGTAATAATAATTGTACAAGCCCATTTAGAACTTACTGTTTCAGGTCAGATTGTAGCTGATTAAAGTCCTAATGCATATTGCGTGTAAATCTGTTGTTGTTTGTGTGTGTGTGTGTGTGTTTTCTGTCAGCTGTTGTTGTCCCTGCCCTGCATTTCTAGTCAGAGCTGTCATTAGGTTTCATCTTTTCTCCTCCTCTCTCTTATCTCTCTCTCACTCTCTCCCCTCCCTCTCCCTCTAAGGGATTAATTACTTAGTACTCCTCCTTCTCTCTGATCTAGTTTTTAATTCCATCAGGAATTTGTAATATCGTTTTGATTCATTCTGCAGTTACTTCTCACGTTGAATGGCTACTCGCTAATGCGATAAAGTTTGCATCTGTGTAATACGCCTATGCAGCGAGGATAGTGTGAATTAAAATTATCATGCGTAGTCTAGAAATTTTAGCACAATTTTGTAAACGAACTGGTGGACATTGTATTGTTTGAGAAGAGATAGAAATACAATTTTTTGAGTATAAGATAGCATTATGATAACCTTCTAATGTTAGCCAATCTCTGTTTATCTTTTAAATTTCATAACAGTTATTTCCCCTTTTATTTCTCTGCCTACATTTTGTACATCAAGAACATTTCCTTGTTTCTTTATCATCAGTTACATTGTTTTTGCAATAGATGTTTTGAACATGTCTGCCACACAAATATAAATCCATCTACGCCTAAGACTAATGCAGTTATAATGTTGCTGTGTACAGTACATGTAATTGAGCCTTGGGCTATTTGAGATAGTGATCAGTGATTTAGGATTTATTTGTACTATGTATAATATATAGCAAAAGACTATTTTGTACTAGTTTGTGGTGAATGATAATGTAACATTATCACATTCACTTTTGCCCTTTGTTTGATGTTCTACCTACTCAATGTTAGCATAAAAGAACCACAAGCATGAGATACTGTCCTTCTTACCACAATACACAACGTACTTTGAATTTTGATGTGATCCAAACACTTCTTCCCTTCCTCCTTCACTCTCTCTTTTCTCCCTATTTCTCATTTAAGCATGCTCCTCTTGCATTAAGACACTGAAGGGTATTTTTAGTATGTAGTAGTTCCATGTAAGCTGACAAATGGTTTAACATGGGCCAATAATAGCATTTCACAATCCAGCAACATCTGTCAGTCCTCCTTGAGAGTTTTCTTAACATTAGTCTCAATCCAATAAAGATGAAAGGATAACATGTATTTATATTGTGCAAGGTGTATCAAAGGCATTGTGGGTGACTATAGACACCAAAACACCATTTATTACCTTGCAAAGCTCAATTCTAAACAAGCTCTGGGATGTCAATTCATGAAGTTCGATATTCCCATGCATTGGACAATGACCTGTTGATATAGCGCTTGACAAATAAGCTGTCTTGACTAATGATGCGTTTCGATGTCTGCCCACTGTTGTTAAGTTCTGCAAATTAGATGAACCCAGAGTTGTTATTTCTATAACAAACGCTTCACAGTTTCAAGATTGTCCTCTCACAACACGACAATGAAACCTCCTGTTTAGACACAAGAAAAACATATTGCCCATTGTGGGTGTAGCATGTATGTATGCATGTGTCCGGCCTAATGTTTTCATTCGCTGCTTGTGAAAGGGAATTTGACATAGTAAAGAGAAGACTCTCGTGCTTACTTCATAGTAATGCACAGTAGACTTGTAAAGGATTTCCAGATATAGTAGTTATTATCACTATTGAAGCCAAACGGACTGTCTGTCTAGCGGGTATTTCTTTAGGATATGACCGCATTATAATTACTTTCTTGTAATGATATCAAGTAATCATAGCAAGTCAAGCAGTGCATGTATGCTGTTATGATTAGTACTGGATTACACAGACTTATTCTACTGTTTAAATATACATTTATCTACATTATTATTGGACCTTATGTATAGCTTTGTTAGCTGCCATTACTAACAAAGGTACAATACTAGCATTTAAAGAAAGGTCATAGTAGAATGGTTTAGTAATAGTAGTAGTAACAGAGCCGATCCTAAATCAACTAAACATTAGACCATAAGCAGCGTTTGTGTATGCATGTATATTATTATAATTACTATTTTATCTCCATCATTATTCTGAAGTGGTCCGCTGACACATGCTACTACAAATAATAATACCTGTACTCATAAATGTGCTAATGATTCTAGAAGGTGTACAGTAGTGACTGTAATCAGACTCCTCTTAAAGATTACGTATGTGTCACATGATGAATGATATAACGAGGTACACTGTTACGGCATCACCAATCAACAGGAGCTAATGACAATACAAGACAGAGTAAGGGGTCCCCTGTAGGCCAGTACATGAGTAAATAAATGTGCTTAAAAGGAAACACTTATATTTATAACTCTCTTTGTGTCTGTCTCTGTTGTGGTTGCAGTCATGCTTGCCTCTCCCTAGAGACTGACACGAAATGAGTAGGATGGCATCCTTATACTCTCAATGAATCTCATTAATGTGTATATATTTGTTAAAGAGGGTCTGGTATGTGATGGAGTGATTGATGTGGCTTTGTATAATGACTGCTTTTATAGTATAATCTCCATCCATTTTACTATGATATTGACTTTATGAGAGGGAGGGCGGGAAAACAGCAGCTGTGGTAAAGGAGATCAGGCATGTGTGTCTAATTTGTTTTGTCAATGAATTCATGTGCCATTATATCAATTAAACACTTGTTCATACATGCCTGCTTCATTTTTTATCCATGTCCTTCTTGCGCGTACGTGTATTTAATTACGTATAAATAATGTTTATCTTAATTTTGTTTAAATTTATTGTATACATGCATTTGTTTATATATTCGTTGCAATCATTATTTATTTTAGAATTTGTTTTCGTATTGTATAATGTACATGTACATGTATGTCTGTTATCTTGTATTATATTTTGTACTTATACTCACTTGATGGTTGATTGGCCTGGAGGTATTTGGTGTAGCAATGAGAAATATTTTTCTCATGTCTTTGTGTGTCATGCTCTTATCAAAACCTTCACCTGTTGTTTATCCGCATACTTTAACCCTCACAAGTCATGTAATGTGTACTAATATCTCACACCTGTCTCTCTTTTCCTACTCTCTCTCTCTCTCTCTCTCCCCCTCTCTCTCCCCCCCCTCTCTCTCTCCCCCTCTCTCTCCCTCTCTCTCCCCCTCTCTTTCCCCCCCCCCTCTCTCTCTCTTAGTTGCTAGCAATGGCTTTCTTTTGTCCTGGATCAAGTGTCAAGATAAAGAAAGAAGCAGGTTAGAGTTTAGTACTACAGTACTTACTATCCACACATACAATCTTGGCATTATACCATATTATGACTAATATAAGGTATCACGTAGTTACCATATCCTCCTCCTATCATATTATACAGTATATGTGTCTTCATCCAATAATCATTTGGTTGTTAGCGAGATGCCCACACACAGTATGAGAGTGTACGTGATCAAGCCCCTTTAGGATCATGAGAGATTGTTGTAGGAGAGGCTGTTACCAAGCAATGGGCCAGTTTACAGATGAACTTGTGGTTAGGGCCTTGTTAATATATTGTTATTATTAGTGTCACACTGCAAGCCGTCTTCTATATATTTCCTTGTGGGTGTGTCAAAACAATCCCTGTATTAATTGAATTATTATCACTATTGGTTTATACTGTATGTGTCTATGGGTGGCAGAACGGGACATTTAGTCTTTGATGTGGAGACTGGCTACATCCATTATAAGTTATAATAGATTTATTAACATCATTTTCCATGGAAATTTACTTGACATACTGCTGTGTTTTCATTAGAAAATCTCGTTTTTGTTCCTGTAATTCTATTAGAGTGTTTTGAAGCTGTTAACATTCAGCTAGTGTGTGCTTTTCATTCAACACATTGCTAAGTGCAAGTATATTGTTTGCTTACGTTATTCATGTTTACAAAATGCCTAATGGCATTACTATTATTAATTTACCTTTCCTTTGAGCTTAAAAATCAATTCTCTCAAACTGCTAATTTTTATATGATTGCTTTTGACTGAAAATCTTGGCAGTGATAATCTGTGAGATAAACCAATCGCTTACTCTATGACTCCTGGAAAGGTTATTGTGGCTTCTGATGCTCAATGCCTCAATATCAAGATATGTCTGATTATTTTCAAAGTCAAAACAACTACATGTAGACTAAGAACTTGAGAAGTCTTAGATTTTGTGGTTGCACTTTATCAAGAGTATTCATGTCTTCCCAAACAGTATTAAATGTTGTGGTACATCTGTTACATATTGTATTAGAGCTGTTTTTCTCTTTGTCACAAAGCTATACATGTACATACGTATGTAATGATGTAAGAGGATTTTTTAATTTACTACACAATGAAAGCCACATACATGCATTGGTTGAATAATTAAGTGTGAACTAGTGATAATTGTCATGTACATGTGTCGTGGACTGGCAGTTGTAAGGGACAGACAGACAGGGCTCTTGTTTACAGCAGACTAAATGTACATTCTTGCAATTTACAGTCTATCCATATAGACTGTATATGAGCCTTTTCAAGCAGATGCATATTCTACACATTATGTGTGCATAGTTTTTCAATGGCCTCCGGCAAATTTTTTAACTTGCTTGAAAATTGGTTAAAAATCCCTGTACTATTATATAGTACATGGTCTGAGGCCAAATTTCACCGAAATTTAAAAGGAGAGATTTCTCCACTTTCATAATTTTTTCTGATGCATATACATGTTTTTTTATTGTGTAGAGAGTTTAAGCTAATTCCAATTAAATTTGGATTTTATGCGAATTTTTAACGTTGCTCAAAAATCGGCCCAAAGTCCCTGTACTATAGTACAGGGACTTTTACCAAAATTTGGCAAAAATGAAAAAGTGAGAATTCCCCATTTTTATAATTTTTCTCAATACATATACATGTTCTTATGTTGTGTAGAAAGTTTGAGCTGATTCCGATTAAAATTGAATTTTTTACGAATTTTTAAAGTTGTTCCAAATGCTATGTACAGTTATTGTATTGGCTCATTTAGCATAATGCTTTGTGGGAAACCTGGTATACATGTACTTACGCGTATGTGTGTACATGTGTGTATGTGTATGTACATGTACATGTATGATGAGAGTGCTGAGTCCTTAGTGGAGGTGTTATGTATATTGTTGATGATAATAAAGTGAGGAAGTTTGAGCAGGAGCAGTGTATGTTATGATATGCCTGTACCAAACCCAGTCTGTCACTACTGAATTAGCATTTCCCATTCATCAGTAGTTGCAGTTGTATGTTAAATCAGCAAACTGTACTGAGTGAGTGTACATACCTTACAGTATTAACAATGCATTGATAGTAGTACTGGATCATGGGCTGCTTACTACATTTGGTGGAGAGACATCTCCTCGAATCACAGATATGATAAGAGTCATTTTTGGAAAAAAAGCTTAAAGTATTGAGTATGGTTTATATTCTTTTTTTAATGCCTTTATAGCAGCTCAAAAATTTGCATTCAAACTCTCCCAGCATGAGTGTCTATGATCAGACAGTGTATTATTTGTTCAGCATGTGGTCTTTGTCCTGTTGGTAGACAGGTTGTGGGTATGTATGGTGGCAGGACTCTCTCATATTTGATCAATGTTAGACGTTGACCATTAATGTAGCTGATAAATGAGCCATTCTTAATCTTATTATGAATGGAATTTACACTAATTGACCAGTGACAGCTCCTTTACTGTAGCATTATAACTAGCAAACTCGTGGCAAATAATAATAATAATGATGATAATAATAATAATAATAATATTCCATTAATTGCAGCATAATTTTATCAATAATAAATGCAATTACTGTGCAATAAATAATACTCAAAAAAATTGTGTAAGAGCTAGAGTAGATTATGTCTTTTACTATAACAGAAGTTGTTCTTACTTCCTTTGCAAAAGCACATACCAAAAATAGCTCTAAGTTATGCAAGATTGATGTCATAACTATTAATACAGCATGTTCAATGGCTTCACCACACTATTATAACTGACCACTGCCCTCTGTGACTTCCTCAAATAGCGTGGTAAGAAGAAGCAGGATTAGTCTGCTGATCTTTTGTTCTTATTTCTGTTTCTTGTCTACCCCTGAGATGTCTTTCAAGGGTTGGTTCGGCTTTAGTAAAGGTCTGTTAATAATACTGTAATCTTCTTGTGTGTGCTCTTTCACTCGTTCTATGCTTGTGTAGCCTTGTCCTGTAGCCGACTTTAAACAAGCTGTTGTATAAGCCATTGCCCATTGCGACTCTAGCAGCCTAATGCTTGCTGTATATCTAATACCACACACCATTTTTATTCATAGTGGTCCCATTTTTGGCTTGCATTTTTAAATGATAAGTTGGCCTGTGGTAGGTCTACTATGTACATGTAGCTACAGGTTGTAGTTGGTATAGTTTGACCAAAGGGAGAGATAATGTCTGCCCACCTGACCATACATCCTCTGAGGCCATTTATTTGATTGTATTAGTGAGCTCTGTCCTCTAAACTACATTATGCTCTTTTATTATTGTATGATTGATTATCATCAAGAACTCTTGGTATAACAATTTAAATCATTGTCTTTATTACTAATGGACATTTTGTGACTACCATAGCTGTTATACATAGTTTAGTTTGCCTTGTGCTGCATGAAATGTTGATTTTTTGTGACCTTTTGAATGTGATATTGTTTGTTCTATCTTCACTTCTCTCTCTCTCTCTCCTACACACATAGCCAGCATAGCAACAATCCCTTAAACTCTTAATGTACACATGTACATGTACTGTCCTACTCCCTCAGCCTTTAATGTACATGTACATATACATACTGCCTTACTAATTACTGCATCAATTGGGTAGACTAATAACATTATAACTGGATTCTCACCTTGTTTCTACTACTTAATGTCCACAGCCCACTCTCCTCTATCAATCTCAATTGCTTGTTTTGGCTTATCGGTCGTTTCATTTGGCTCTGGTTTAACCTGATTCTCTTCCCTTGCCTTTCATGTTTACAGGTTTCTCTTAATTGTGTGGGTTGGAATCAGTAATGTTGTTTCCTAATCTCTCACGCTCTGAAGTGTGACAGTTCATATTGCTGACTAGAACTGACACATACTAATGTGTTTAATTATATTCTCAGTTCTTTTATGTGCATGTATTCCTTTATTATGTAAACTCATGTAGTTGTATAAGTGTGTTTCTTTGATTTGTGTGTTGTTTAATTGTTCCTTTCCACTTTCTGTTTCAGAATCGCACAAAAGGCCTCACTCCGGTGGTTATCGTCACGGTATTAACCACTCACCATATTCTCCCTATTACCCGACTGCCAGTAGTCCCCAGCACTCGCAGAATGGTCGTTTTGATAAAGCCATTGATGTACTCTCTGCCCCTCAGACTCCTATCAGCGACCAGTTCTTTCAAAAACTGATTGTCTTTAAGGATTTCTCTGCAACTGATGAGAAGGAGCTAACGGTTAGAAAAGGAGAGAGAGTAGAGGTTGTTCAAAGAGAAGAGGATCGTCTACTCGTCAGGAATGAGCGTGGGAAGCAAGGATACGTACCCTCGGACTACTGTGCCCCTCCTATTGCTTCCTCTTCAAGACGTGCTCGCTCCAACAGCCGCTCATCAATGCCTTTACGACCGGTCGCCAGTGGAGAGGACACCAGTAGCAGGGGCAGTATACCAATGTATGCAAGCCATTCTGCTGGTCGTGTCAAACGCTCTCCATGTGAAGATTCAGATCAAATGTTAATTAGACGAATTAATTCTCCACCTAATAGCGCCACAGTTCACTACCCGCCTAATAGTGCCATGATGGGACAAGAGAGACACAGGCGAGAAGGTTCCGCTCCTTTGGAACCGAAACACTCTCCCTCCTCCTCCAGTGGAGTGGCTAGTCTTTCAGAGCAGTACTCACCAGCACTCAATAGATCCTATTCACAAGATGCACTGGAGACTGAACCCACTGTTGATAAGATAAGGTCAGTCAGTTTGAGCCAGACCCCCATGATGACTGATGGGTTTGACGTCTATCGTAAGAACTCTTCGTCCGATGATAGTGGAACAATGGAACTCTCCTCTACTCATTATAAAGACTATGCTAGTACTATTCGTAATGGAGATGCTTCCAGCGATGATGGATCCTCTAGACAGGGTAGAGGCTCATCTGCTTCTGGTAATACTACCCCTTCAATAAGAGACAGACCTCTTCCTAGTCCACCTAAGTCAAACGAAGAAGTCCCACCTCCCATTCCTCCCAGACACACCAGCCTTGATAGAGCTGGTCGCCATCAAGTCAACTCTTTTAACGACATGGCTACACCCGATGACATTGATCCTTATGCTCAACCAGTCGATACTCTCAGTGAGTGTGGAGGTCTCATTCAACCTCAGTCTTCACTTGTCAAGCACAGATCAACCAAGAGCCATGTTGACGTCCAGAATCAGAACACTGGGATAGAGTCACCTTATTCTGAAGTGTATCGTCCATCAAGAGGTAACAAGCGTCCTATTAACCTACCCGATGATCACCCACACTTTCAGAGACACCCTGGGTCATTCACTCGTCATCGCTCTCCTAATGGATCCGTTAAATCTCACGGAATTGAGAGACGGGGATCACCTCAGATTAACGGAGTGAGTGAACATAAGAGGCCACTGAGCGGTGGTAGTAAGCGTCCTCCTTCAATTAGTAGTGAAAAGAGAGTCTCTAATCGTATTGATGATATGAGCTCTCCTTCACTTGATAGTCCAGGACTACAATCAAAAGGGATGGTCAAATTTAGGAAATGTCTTTGGGGAGTCTACGTCTGTTTACAAGTAAGAGCAGAGAAAGAGAGAGAGGGTGTGAGCTATTCACAATGTAATGAGATGGAAAGGAATTTCATGCACGCATTATCGTGACTGTAGGCAATTTGTAATTGAGTGGTTTTTATTATTCGCTATTAAATACAGCATTGCTGTAATGTCATGCATGCATGGCTCATTCCTTTATCAACTATGGCTATTACAATTTGTTTCTTTTATTGTATAGAATTTTGATGCCTGCGATGAGAATGAAGTAAGCGTCACTAAAGGCGAGAGTGTTCTTGTCTTTAATCAAGAGGACAACAACTGGTTTTGGGTCGTGAAACATAAAACTGATAACTCGGAAGGTTTTGTACCTTCGTCCATACTCAGTGAAGTGATGGCTGATAAAACAGGAGGAGGAGTGCCAGGAGGTGAGCAGTTGCAGCTGTGTGTATAGTTATGTGTGGAATGATTGTTTGTCATGCAGCACATGTGTATATGTAACCAATGGCCCTTGTTACCATTACTACACTTCATTTACATTACATATAATGTGTATAATAATGCATTCATAATTCCAGTACTTTATACATTGCTGTGTTATTAGTTATAAATAGCATTCATGAGTGTACTATAAATAGATTATAGTTAATCATATTTTTAGTTAGTGACGTGTTTACTACTTTGGTTTGTTCTTGCTGTGTTGTTGAACTGGTAGCCCTGTTCATAATGGCATTGGGTTATTATAACTTTGTGTATTTAATGATGTTAGAATGTCACTGCTAACGGTAAACACCTAGTACACAGATATGCAGTGTAACTAAACCCGCCACACACACACACACACACACACACACACACACACACACACACATACACTGTACTGATGTACATGTACATGTAGATGGGATACATGATATGGTTAACTTGTGTATTGTTTACATGCTGTCATGCTAGCTTGTTACTGTCTTGTATAATCATATCAAATATTTACTGAACAGATGTGCAGTATATTCTCAAACACTCGTAATCCTTTTGATCATCATTAGCTGATGATACAGATACACTGTCTTGCTTTTAATTACATGTAATTCTCTCTCTCTCCCTCACACACAATTTCCTCTTTAGCTTATTAATGCTATTTCCCTTCTTATTCATTACATTTGTTGCTGCTTGTGTTAATTCTCTGTTCACTCAACAACCTATTCAGTGTATTATTAATTACTGGTTGACTGTTTCCTCTGCTCCTTTGCTCCTTATCTTATCAATTACTATTAAACTGATTCTGTTATGCTTCTGTTAACTTACAACTCACAACATGTCTAATACTGAATGAATGTACAGCATTTAAAGGGCAAAGCCAACCTAGCAAAGCATAGAGCAGTCACTGCATAAAATATAGTCTGTACAAGGTCTTTGACCAAATTTCATCAAAAATGAAAAGTAGAGAATTCTCCATTTTTATAATTTTCCCTGATACATGCATGTTCTCGTGTTGCTTATCAATTTTTAGCTGATTCCAATCAAGTTTGGATTTTATATCCAAACTTAACTATTTGACACAATTTATAATCATCTCTTTCTCCCTCTTATCTCTCCCTCTCTCTCCCTCTAATAGTTGAACCAACAGCACACCACCATTATCAATCACAGTATCCCTCCTCCTCCTCTACTACTGCTCATAGACCACGTGCCTCCACCACTAGTGTATACCCTACTTCATCATCTCAACCAATGCACCACCACCACCACAGGTCAAGGCTGAGCTCAACAGGAGCTGCTCCAATGCATCAAAGAGGAACAGTACCCAACATATCAAGTTCTGAACGCTTACCCCCTCCTCCTCCTACCTCCTCCTCTTCTAAACCAATACTCGCGTCTCCTTCTTCTCCTCCTCCTCCTTATGCTGAGAAGGATCCCATTGGTCACCCTCCTCCTCCTCCTCGTCAGTCTATCCCTCGTAACAGACCCTCATATCCCGGGAGAACTGGGCGTGTCAGTATGCCCCACTCTCCCATGTACCCTCCTGGTATTCAGACCAATGCTCACGTCACTCGTAGCTCCACCCACTTGTCCTCTCCTCATGTTGATAACGGCTACCCAACTCATGTTCCCATATTGTCTTCACCTGCTCCTGTCATCGGAGGGACTTTAGTATGAGGAGGGAATTGATTGACTTTAACGAGTTTCTGTTTAAAATTAAAAATAATAGTTGTTTGTACTCACATCACTTGTGTTGATATTATTATTATTATTATTATTATTATTATTATTATTATTATTATTATTGTTGTTGTTGTTATTATTGTTTTCCCTTTTCACTATTACTGTAGTGCATGTACATGTACCTAAATACATTGTTTATTATTTAATCTAATGATAACATGATTCTACCGGTAAGTAAGGGCGTCATCATAGACCAATCAGATTGAGCTACACCCAAGCAAGGGTGGAGCTGCATTGCTTTGGGAAGAATTATTATTTTTACGTTGTTCACTCGTTTTATACTTTATTTCTGCTCCTTTGGAAAAATATATTTCTGCAGTCGTGTCCTTGCTTGCTACTGCTCTATTAGTCTATAAAAGATGATTGACGTCTGTCAGTGGAGGGCCAGTATTGGGAGTTGGAACTGCTGTCAAGCTGCTGCTGGTCGTCGCAGTCGTTATGACAGTGATGGGGAGTCTTTACCTACAAGGGATTGTACATCTGGAAGGAACAAGGCTCCTGTTCTTCAAGCATCAGCTGTGGATCTGATATCAATTATTGTCTTTTTCATTCTTTCATTCTGTGTATCAAGACTCACTCCAACAGGTAGGCATTACATGACCAATGAGGTTTGTATTAAATATAATGCATATATAATGTAATTATAATCTAAATGAAAAACATTAGTGATCATGGGTTAGCTTTTTGCATTGTTAGTGGAATGTTGATTTGTCAACATGAATAAACTTACTGTAGAAAATTAGATCTAGATAAAATATTTTTATTAACACAGTGTATTGTTAATAGGTCACTGTAGCTCCTTCCAATTGTTTGTTGGTGATGATATCTCAGGATGGCTTCAGTTATATGTGGGAGCTAGTGTCATTGGCAGTTTTAACTTGTTCACAATTTCATTCAATTTGTATTTCTATTTCCTTCTGATCCTCCTATCAGGAGATGTGGAACTCAATCCTGGTCCTGTAACAGGTAACAATTTAAATACATGACGTAGGCCATTATTATTATCATTATACTGTATAGATAAACCAGATGCACCCAGTTTATTACGTTCTGCCTCTGCTAAACTCACTCAACCCATTTCAACTACCCTTTATGCAGTAACTGATTCACTGTATGCTCAAGGACTGATATCACTGAATATCAAAGAAGATATGTATTTTAAAGGAGAGACTGATGCAAGGAAAGCTGGCAAGCTACTCATTACATTGCAAAAATTACTGGAAACATCTAGTAATCCAGAACAATATTTGATCAACGTTTGTTATATCTTATTGAGTCAAAAACTTGTTCCACTAAAAGAAATTACTGTCCCTATCTTAAAGAAGTTAGGTGAGCATGTGTGTATATTATGAGGATTGATAAGTTTATGATATTCTCATTTCATTTTAGGTGAATCTATATCTGATGATCAGGAACTGGAAGTCACAATCACTCTTCCGCCTGATGATGTTCAAAAATATGCTGACATATTGAGGCAGAGGTATAATCTGCAACCCATTATAGCTGCAGACTGGCCACCACGAGTTGGAAAAGACTTCTTTGGTAGATTAACACTAATAGAAGGCCAGGATATGATCAAACGAGCAGAGTTACAAATACATTGGCACATGCTGAGAGGAGAAGTTGATAAAATTCCTTACCTCACTGGAAACATGGAAATAAAAACGGAAGATTTATTAAAAACTAAAGATACCTCTTCTCAAAATATAGTAATTGATGGTCCTCCTGGGATAGGCAAAACAACACTGTGTCGTAAACTGCTGAATATGTGGTCAAACGGAGTGCTTGGCTGCCTATTTGACTTGGTACTTTACTGTCCTTTGAGAAATAGCAAAGTAGCTGAAGCTAAGGAATTAAAAGAACTTTTTTTGTACGTCTATGACTGTCCAAATGTACCAGAAATAGTCAAATGGGTTTTAAAGGAACAAGGAAAAGGGCTGCTGATAATTTTTGATGGATGGGATGAGTTAAGTATGCAACACAGGGAATCTTCACTGGTTGCTAAAATTATTTGTAAAAATAAGTTAGCAAGTTGTTCAGTGATTGTTACCTCTCGTAGCTATGCCTCTGCATCACTTTTAAGAGCATTACCTTATGTTAGTAAACATGTTCAAATTATTGGATTATCCACAAAAGAATTATCCACAGTAATTATAAAAACACTTCAAAAAGATTCAGATTTAGCAGAAAAACTTATCAATAAAAATACAAGTGGATACTTCAAAACTATTCCAACTAATAAGGACTCACAACGAGCAGTAAAACTCATTAATGACCTCAAAGTACGAGGTGATGTGCAGTCTCTGTGTTACATTCCACTGGTTTGCTCAATGGTAATCTTAGTCTATTGTAAGGCTGGAGGGCAGCTACCAACAACACTCACTCAATTGTATGAGAACTTCATCTTACAAACTATCCAATGGCATATAAAAAGGAAAGATGGAACCTATCCAAATACGTTAGTCAGTCTCGCTACATTACCATCACCATTAGCTATAGCTTTAAAAGAACTGAGCTATTTAGCTTACACCACTCTTGCTGATACAAAAATGACTTTTTCATTACATCAACTAGACCTGCCTGTGACTGAAGCAGCAAAAGAGGATTATCTTGGATTGCTGACAGAATTTGAAGAGTTTGATGAAGAGAAGTATCAATTTATTCACTTAAGTATCCAGGAATTCTTAGCTGCATGGTGGATATCTAAGCATGACAATACTGAAAAAATTTTCAATGATTATTTTGACAATGAACACTTTAAAATGTGTCTGAGGTTTGTAGCTGGTCTAACTCATCTTGAACATAAAAGCTATCGACGTTATTTTGGAAAAAAAAAACAATTACAGTGTGAGGATAGCCCACTTAGAGAATTTGAAACCAGTCACCATCAATGGTTTCATGGATTAAGTCAACATGCAAAAGGTTTAGATTTCGAAGAACTCCAAATCTTACTTCTCCAATTCCTATACGAATCTCAAAATACAATATTGTGCCAATTATTTGCACATTCTATAGAAGACCAATCATTGTGTCTTAATCGTAAGGCTGGTATTAGTAATTCAGTCATCACTAAGCTTTCATTGTTTGATTGGTTGTGCTTCAGTTATCTCTTGAATAATGTAGAATGGAATGGGTTGGACCTACATGAATTAGATGAGCAATCATTATCAGTGCTAACTGCTGGATTAAGCAATAAATCATCAATAAGTCAGTGCAGGGCAATAAGTATGCGGCTTAACAGTATTTCTGACAGTAATTTAGGACTTAATTTTTTTGAAAAACCACTATTGCATAATATTCAATCAATATTGGTTGATTTTTCGGCAATACCTGTGACTTAGTTCCTGTATTATTAAAGTTAGTCACTCTACCTCAACTCAAGGTGCTAATGTTTAGTGGAAATATTTGTACAGATCTTAATGAGACTACCTATATTAGGAAATGTTCTGAACTTGAACAAAGCATCAAAGCAAATTCAAAATTAAAAACTTTTTATGTACATTGTGATAACTTATCAACATATGAACTTCCCAAACCACTTGTGGCAAGTGTTATTAATGGAGTTGCCCAAAACAAAACAATAACATCATTCACATTGGAACTGCATAATTTGTATCCTGATCATCATGCTCTAACTGATGGTGTAATAGAGAACTTACTGAGGGACAACAACACATTACAAGCTCTTTCAATCAACATACCCAATCGTTACATTCCATTACCAGTGAATAAACTAAAGGTAAAATCAAAATTGACTTCTCTAGAGATAGAATATGGTAGTAATATACTAATGAATTTACTCCTTCCATGCATCGAAGGATTAAAATGTCTGATATTATCTATGCCATATCCACCATGTCTTATATTTGACTTTTATCCTCATCTACAACAACTTACTATAAAACTGGACACAGCTGAGAGTATCAATGAACTCTTTACTATTTTACAGACCAACACCAGTCTTAAAGCTCTGAGAGTGGAAGTTGAGGAAGGAAGTGTCTATACAGTTTGCAGTATTGGTAAACATGAGTCATCATTTAATGCTAAAAAGTGTATGAGTTCCAGTTCATATATGTCTATCATAACTACTGGTATCATGCATAACACTGGTCTACAACAGTTGAGTATACCTGTTTTTCTACCTATTACTAATGAACAAATGAGAAGATTCTTAAATGTCATCTCCCAAACAGATAATATCACAGAACTCAAAGTAGTTTTTCAACTAGATCAGACATTGTCCTTTTCAAATGACGAGAAAGGAATAATGAAAACTTTTTTCTATGAACAAATATTACCTGATATTTTTGATATGCTACGATCACATGCAACCATCAAAACAATGAGTATAGTGTGTAACTATCTTTATGAGTCATCTGATACTAATACAACAGCAATAGAGGATTTTTTCCATCGTACGCCATTCCCATCACTTCAGCAATTGGAAATCAAAAGAACAGGAGATATAAGTATGATCAAGACTTTTAAAAAGAATGTAGTGGTATACCCATACGGCTATCCAATTACTCGTGAAATAAAAATGTATATACATTAAACTATGGTAATAATTATACAAACTTACATGTAAGTTTACCATTTTGTGTGTAATATTGTACTCTTGATTGTTCTTACTGCTTAGACAAATTAAAATTTTATTGCTATTTGCAACACTATTATTAGCTTAACATGTGGTGAAAAGCAACTAATTATTTGTTTCTCTGTAAAAATTCTATTGCCTTATATTCATTTTATTGCTAAAGACATTATTTTGCTAATGAAAATTCATAGTTAGAATTATTGTTAATCATTCTTGTTCCAGTTCAACCAGTACTCCATCACAATCCTTAGGATGTAAGAACACCACTGGTTTACCATGAGCACCAATCTGAGGATATCATTGACCATATATGGTACTGTATAGGAGGATGTTAGGGTCTTACTTTTGGTTCAGGGTTCAATGCTCTTACTTTACCTTTCAATGAATCAACTGCTTTATGTATATCACTAACCTACAGTATACAATGAATTAATAATGATTATTGATAGGGTATAATATAATGTAATAAAGCTAATAATATAAATGTGTTAAAATCTCAATGTTTAGCAAATCAAAAAAAAATGTTAGAGTAGTATGTATATACATGTACTTGTAGGTTTGTATATGTCAATCTCTTAAGTAAATAACTTAAGTCTTACTCTATTTTTAAAATGTTAAAGTAGCAAGTGTTTTTTGCTAAAGTATAATGTACATGCACTTACTTCAAGGCAGATGTGGTGTATTCCTCCAGCTGGATTACGTTTTAAAAATCCCTCAATGGGACTGTTCTCCCCTAATGGATGCAGTAACTATAAAAGGAATAAATAAATGATCACACTGTTAGTTCTTATACCACTTCTTCTATTCTGAATAACTAATGTGTGTATGTGTGTGTGTGTGTGTGTGTGTGTGTGTGTGTGTGCTAGACATACCTCAATCTTTGTATCACCAAGTTCAACAAATACTGTATACACACCATGTTCAGGTAATGGCTGCAAGTATGTGTAATGTATTCATATATGTAAAGGATAATTAGATAATCATATTCTTTAATTCTCATAATATTATTGTTTTCTCTCTCCCTCCTACAAACATACTGTTGATTTGCTGACATTAGCTCCCAGTATGTCACGATAAAGAGAAGTTGCTTTCTCTAGATCAGGGACAGCAATGGCTACATGATTGATTTTGCCAACACTCCATGATCTTATTGTATCACTACTGATAGATCTACTCCTAATGAGCTATAATGTATACATGTATTAAGAAGTTGTGAACAAGTACGAAAATAATATTAATGCTTAGATTTTTAATTCCACCCAAAAAATTCTGGATATCAGCTCAAAATTGCAATCAAGCCCACATTAATGAAGTATTCAAGACTAAATTAGATCTGAAGCTCACACAAAATTTACAGAAGAATAGATATATCTACATGTCTATCTATACTCACATTATATTCTGATGAATTTGAGGTTAAACTAGTTCTCAGAACTCTTTTAACTGATGAAGAGAATGCATTTCTTACACAAAACATTTTCAGACACTGACTGGGCGAGGCTAGAGCCCTTAAGCTCCACACTCTCCACACCTCCTGTCCTGATGAGCTCGTGGTTGTTCTTATGCTGACAGAGAGAAAAGGATCATGACGAGTTCGGATAAGAAACCATTCACTAGACTCCCAACTGATGTAGTTCCTGTTAACTATACGCTAGAGCTGAAGCCTGACCTCCAGAAGTTCACTTTTGCTGGGAAAGTTTGCATTAC